ATTAAATCTTCCAGAAATATCATTCATTTGTTGTGAAGAATCAGATGAAAAACTACATGAGTTAGTCAAGGATTTCATGAAAATTGAAAATGTTGGTGTAACAATTTCAAAGCTTGACAGGAAGAGAACAAGAGAAGAAGAAAGAGCCCTTTCGATCGCAGAAAACTCAATCCATCTTGTGAATGGTCAATACGAGATAAAATTGCCATGGAAAGAGGACAACAAACTATTTCCTGATTCAAAGCCTATGACTATGCAGAGACTGATTTGCCTGGAGAGAAAGCTATCTAAACCCGGAAAGGTGAGGGTAGTATTTGATGCAGCAGCAAAAACTAACGGATTTTCACTAAACGATTTCTTACTAGTTGGGCCAGATTATTTGAAATCTCTTTTCGGAATTCTACTGAGATTTCGAATCAATAAAATAGCTTTTGCAGGAGATATTCGAGAAATGTTCAACAGAGTGAGGATTTCATATGAAGATACCTTCGCCCAATGTTTTTTGTGGAGAAATCTGCAACAAAATACTTCACCGAAGTTGTACAGGATGACTGCAATGTTATTTGGTGCATCACCTTCTCCATTCTTGGCACAATTTGTCAAAAATCATAATGCTCGGTTATATTCTGAAACACACGGTAGAGCAGCAGATGCTATCATTGAAAACCATTATGTAGATGATTACCTGGACAGTACCGAGACAGTACATGAAGCAATCCAACTTATCAAGGACGTCATAAATGTCCATGGAAGAGGAGGCTTTGAAATCAGGAATTTCATCTGCAACTCAGCCGAAGTCCTAAAGAACATACCAGCACATCTAGTGACTCAAAATGGAATGTCTGAATTGGACCAAAAATACTCAGAAGAAAGAATTCTCGGAATTACATGGAATTCTCGAAGAGATTGTTTCAGTTTCAAATTGGGATTTCATAAAGTTCATCTGGAAATTATGAATGGCTCAAAAATTCCAACTAAACGAGAAGTTTTGAAGACAGCTATGTCGGTTTACGACCCCATCGGTTTGTTGACACCAATAACAATAAAATCTAGAATATTGCTTCAGCATATTTGGCGTTCAGGAATCGGATGGGATGACTCGATCACCGAGAGCATGTTCAAGAAATGGCTCATATGGTTGAAGGAATTGAAAGAGTCCATGCATCTGGAAATTCCTCGTTGTTATTCAGCCGATTTGAAACAAGCGAAACATATTCAGCTCCATGTATTCGTAGATGCAAGCGAATATGCTTATTCATCGGCAGTATATATTCGCATGAAATTCGAAGAATGCATACAGGTCGTTCTAGTAGCATCGAAAGCACGAGTTACACCACTGAAAACATTAACAATTCCGAAACTAGAATTACTTGCTGCTGTGATGGGAGTTCGATTGTGTACAGAAGTGAAGAAACATTTTAAGATCAATATAGATTCAAAACTTTTTTGGTCTGATTCTCGAACAGTTCTTCATTGGCTCAAGAGTGAAAAACAGCTTCCAACTTACGTTGCTTCTAGAGTTGGAGAGATTTTAGAAATAACTGAGGTCAATGAATGGAGATGGGTCCCAACTGCAGAAACCGTAGCTGATGATTGTACAAGAGATACGCCGAAGAGTTTAACAAATGATGAGTGCAGATGGTTCAAGGGTCCACAATTTCTTCATAGAGATGAGAGTGAATGGCCTGTTATTTCAAAACATTCAAATGAACAAAAGTGTTCAGACGAGTTGAATGAACCAGAATATGTAAATGTCATGGTGCTGACGGAATGTCTTACTGAATATTTGCCAACAATAAAATCTTATTACTCATGGATCAAATTACTCAGAATAACTGCGAGAGTAGGAAGATTCTTGAATAATTTGAAATTGGGGCAGAAAAACAAACAAATTGGCGCTATTACAAGTGACGAATTGGATTGAAGTCTTAAGCAATGGCTGAAGGAAATTCAAAGAAGTTGTTTTTCTAGAGATCTCGAAAACGTAAAGAGTGGAGTAGGCAATAAATCAGGAAGGCTACACAAAATGTCGCTTGTTTTGGACTCTGAAGGTTTGATGAGAATTTCCAGCAGAATACTCAAAATTGGAAATCTCGCTGAAATCGAAAGAGAACCCATAGTTTTAGATGGAGAACATTCATTCGCAAAAAAAATGATTCTTCATATCCATGAACAGTATGGACACCAAGGCACTCAAACCGTGATCAATGAACTGCGGCGTAAATATTGGATCCCGCATATTTCTACGATAGTCAAGAAGACCATTAGACAATGCATGAAATGTAGAAGAAAGATGGCACCTCAAGTTCAACCAAGAATGGGATTGTTACAACAAGATAGGTTGTTATTATATGAGAAGCCATTCTCATCTACTGGCATTGACTACTTTGGCCCATTTTACGTGAAAATTGGTAGAAGAGTAGAGAAGAGGTATGGAGTTCTATTCACTTGCTTGACAGTAAGAGCAATTCATGTAGAAATCGCCCATTCTCTCAGCACCGACTCATGTATAATGGCAATTCGAAGGTTTTTAGCAAGACGTGGAACAGTTAAAGTGATTTGGTCAGATAATGGTTCGAATTTCCACGGAGCAAGCAGGGAACTCGTTGAAGCTCTAGATGAACTCGATATCAACTTAGTCATCGAAAATATGACGAACAAGAGTATCCAATGGAAGTTCATACCACCTGCTGCTCCATTCATGGGAGGTAGTTGGGAACGCTTGATAGGCTGCTTCAAAAGAGCTCTAACAGGAATCATGAAAGACAGACATCAAACGGAAGAAGTACTACAGACCGTATTTGCCGAAGCTGAACATGTGGTTAATAGTAGACCATTAACCCATGTATCTGATAACCCCAATGACTTGGTCAGTATATGTCCAAATGATATTTTGATTGGTAGATCTACTACTCTCATTTCACCTGGTCACTTCACGGAAAAGGATTTACTTCTGCGAAAACAATGGCGAACATCCCAGTGTTTAGCTGATATGTTTTGGAAGCGTTGGCTTCGAGAATATATTCCAACATTGATTAATCGCAAAAAATGGCAGAAAGATGAATCAAATATCCAGATTGGTGATATGGTATTGATAAATGAAACCTCGTTGCCAAGAGGATTTTGGCCACTTGGACAAATCGATAAAATCTACACTGGTCCAGACGGAATTGTAAGGGTAGCTGATGTAAGAACCGCTTATGGAACTTTCAAGAGGGCTGCCCGAAAACTCCACCGACTCAATGTTAATTGTACTAACACTGAAGTTAGTACCAAGGGGGAGAATGTTCAAGAAACTTGAATATTTCAATGCACTGTATATCTGATAGTGACAGTGAGTCAGTTGTTAATTATAAATAAAGATAGAATTGTCAGAATATTGAATAAAATATATAAAAGGTTTCCCAAAAAGGTATAATTAATTCACAACCATTACGGTATCTGTATCAAATGGACAACTTTTTCTTTTAATTAGTTATCTTTGTGGGGTACTTTTTAAATCTGCCAGCGCATTTTATAATCAACTAAAATTTTTCATTCAATGACAAATCTTAAGGAAAACAACATTCATAATAGGTAATTGATAGGAAGGAACACAGATCATTAAGATTATTTCTGGGGAAAGGTGCATCCATGCGCATATGATTCGTAGAAAAAAATGTGACAGTCTCATTGTAGTTGAATTTTTTATAGAAATTGAAAAAATATATAACTTTTGAACCATCAACATATGGATAACAACATATACGGTTAGTTTGATCCGAAATGACCCTCCTACCACCCCACGTCCTTTGATTCATGACTTATGGGACACCCTGTATATACACTGTTGATGGCTTTTGTTGTGCTAGTTCCGAAAAATGAGCCAATAATACACGTCTCCGAAAAAGAACCGCAAGTCCTTTCAGCTTGCAGTTTTTCAATATCAAATCACAGAATTAGACTGACAGATATTTGACAACTTCAAAAGAATGATAAAGATGCCTGCAACGTAGGTTTAATTTCTGTTGACGATTTTCTGATTTCAATATAATCTAATATCTTCTCATTATTGATTCGTCCTTTTTCCTGCCACAGAAAAAATAGTGTATTATACAGGGGAAAAATATTGGATTTTAGCTCACACAACCTGGAGCTAAAATTAACTACTTTTTCCTCTCGTAATGAATAACTATGTTCACATGATTTCTTCTGGCGATTTTGAGATTTATACAAAAAAGTATGTACATATTATGCTCAGTTTTTCCATGGTGTTTTCACATTTCACCGTTTTCTGTTCTCGTGGCATCATAATTATTTTTAAACAAGGCGTCAAATCGAAAAAAAAAACCATATGAGCAGGAAAAGTTTGTATTAATATGTTGAATGAATGAAGTTAAAAAGGTACGTTTTGTTTTCTCGGAATTGATAATTCATTTGATTGTTACACATAAGATAAAGGTCAAGAATGAGTCAAGAGAATCAAAATGTCAAACATAGGTGAATCTAATTAGTAATTGCGCGAATGGCATTATTTAACCTATCTAGATATGTAGGCAAATAGTTTTGAAACGATGTTTTCAGCAAAAGTAATGCAGCAAGCTGTTGTATGTTATTCGACGAATATTTTCAGGAAAAAAGTATCACCAGATATTCGTATACTATTTCATCGTCCGTGCTTAACTGTCAAAAATATCATCACTGAAAAACGAGGTGAGTGTTCGGTCACGTGTGTTTCTGCTTTGGTAGTGTAAAATTACCGCGAAAATGAACGATTCTGATTGGTATTCGGAAATGAGAAAAGAATAGTCAGTTTAATACCGAATGAATCACTGAAATTTCAAATTTTGACATGTAAAAAAACAATGACAATAATTTCAACAAGATTGTTTGTGCCCCAATGATTGCTGAAATTTTCGGAAATTATGATGAACTTCCGAATTAAATTAATGGGAAGAAAAATTTGTCAAAATATTCAATGTCAAATATGAACCATCGTATATTCAGTTGTAAAAACTTACGCTGTGTAGTTGGCTGCCATTTTGAGGATAAATATTCTGTTTTGTGATCGAAACACATAATTTCCAAGCTCCCAAGCTCTTGCAGAATCTGAAAATATACATTTTGGAATTGCTCGGCAACATTTATAAAAAGACAACTTGCTCTGAACTTATGGCAAGAACATTCGATATTTTGCAATTTTCAGTATATCCATCGTGAAACTTTAGATACTTTTTTTTGAGTTCGTTACTCGAAAAACACATGCAACAAGTGGGTAACTTCATTTCTGAACTGTAAATACTTTAAGTTTATCTGGAAAAATTTCAAAGTATAGTAAATTTTTGACCTGAAGATATAGTCACCCACTTATTGAATGTTGAAAATTAGTGTTTTTTAATGGCTCATGAGACCGCATGTTGAGGCCAAAAATTCTCTCAAATTTGCCATGAAAACATGAATTTTATACACGAAATACAAACAACATTTTTTGTGCAACTGTGAATATGAATCTTCTTCCAAACAAATTAAAATATCTGATAATATTGTGGAATCTTCAAGAAATATCCAACGTTTCTGATCAGCAGCAACATGGAACATCTACGGGAATTTATCTTTGAAATAATCGTTCAAACTTTACTATCAATAATTATTCCAATAATTGAAATTGTTTTATGATGAATAATCAATTGATAAATGACTGTTAAAAATAAATACCTACTTCATAAAGTAATGATTTCATGATGCAGAAATGTCAACAAGTACAAAAAAGTTTATTGAGATTCTGATGTATATTAAAAAAAGAAAATTATGAATCTTACCACGAGGAGATAATATACGTCAACTGGTTTCAAATAAAAGAATTTTTCGCACAATCTGAGTAAGGTTATTCCCGGACTATCCAGACAATATGACAGTATACAGCATATCCACGTCTTGAAACACTCTTTGTTGAGTTTACCATTTATTTTGTACCAAGGGGATATTTGTAGCCTCATTATTTGCTTCTGCCTAAAATGAAAACATTTAAAATGGTCAGGAAACTAGGGCCAATACAAAGTATTTACGAAATTGGGGCAATAAATGAAATGGTTGATAGAAAAAGATATGAAAGAATACAATTTTGTCGAAAAAAATTCATTTTGGAATATACTGAAATTTCAAGTTTTGTTGCAACTTTTGAGAATCACTACTCAGAGGTTAACGGGCGAATACGAATGTGGTCCAGTACAGGGTGATTGTTTATATTTCACTCAATACCTCTGCCTTAGTTTTGTTGCAACTTTTGAGAATCACTACTCAGAGGTTAACGGGCGAATACGAATGTGGTCCAGTACAGGGTGATTGTTTATATTTCACTCAATACCTACCTCAGGTAATATTGGTCTTACAGAAACGTTCAAATGGGAAAAAGTTAGGAATTTTTTGGGCATCCAGAATCTAGTACTAGAAAATTCAAAAGATCATCGCAAACCTGAAAATGTTACATGAACTGGTATTTTTCAAATAGAACAGTCTGTATTTTATTTTCCTAATTGGTGAAGCTCTTTCTTCTAATTTCTAATATTCGGGTGACATTGAAATAAGTGCAAATATTTCAAACGCTGAGAAAGCTCGACGTGTACTATCGAATGGCACTAATAAAAAGAATTTAGGGATCAAAATAAAATTTGAGGTTAGACCCCTTTTTCCACCCAAGATTCTACACTGTAGCAAATCTGACGTTACCTCTGTTCAAATTTCCATGCGGTAGGCACGATCACGCGGAGTGCAATCATTTAAATTGTTTTAAAGGGGCGTACTTGATTTCTCTCTCGTATTTTTTTCAATTTTTGGGATGAAATTTCTCGTTAATTAGAAGAATTAGAAAAAAAACAGATATCCTGGGGATATTCCTTAGACTGTATTATATTAATGAGCTGAATATGTGCACTTATTTCAAAAACACCTCGTATATGTAAAAACTTCACAAAACGATGAGATTTTCACAAAATTAATATCAAAACATTTACAAAAGTTAAACAAGCCAAGGTTAATCTCTGGTAGAAGTCCATGTTTGCTCAAATTGGAGTGGAATTTTTAAAAGGAGGAAGGAGAGCTCAAAGTCATCTCCACTATTATGATGAGAGACATCGGCAACTTTGTAAAAACAAATAATGTTCACCTCCATGTAAGTCAATCTTTGGTTATAACATTTTGTATATTTCCACATGCCTTTACTTGTAGTAATTTCTAAAATACGGCTGAAGATGGACTTTTATAAGTTCGAAACATGTCCCGTTGAATAACTACATCAATATTAAAGTTGTGGAGATGACATTGAGCTTTCCTTCCTCCTTTTGGGCCAAGGTTAGTTTAGTTTATTGTACCAGTATATCACCTGACGAAGCTACTGTGTTAGCGAAATATGTCGTGTGTTTGAGAATTTTGTGGAAATCTTATCGTTTGTGAAGTCAATTCAAAAAATCAAATATATATACTTAGTTGGGGTTATCTTTGTCAGTTTTCTAAAAAAATGAATCCTAAGGCAGCTAGCTGTAGAACGCCAAAAATCGAAGCATTGTCGTTATACATCTGCCTTAAATGTATACCAATAAATCTATAGTTTTTGGATGTATGACAAATTGATATTTATCATACAGACGTGGAAAGAAATTCTGAATTGAGAGAACCCACTCACTAATCTGCGAATAGACGTCTATAAAAATAACAAGTTTCCATCATTCATGTTTGAACCCCTTGCTTGGGTATGATAGTATTGAATAGAAAAAGTCTCAGATTATGAACATGAAAAAATGGATATATACATAAAGAAATACATTGAGAATTCGCATTCTATATGTGATGGAAATATTAATTCTTTCTCGGTATAGAAAACAACAACTTTCCTGGCTATATGCCACGACGAACATTGAACCATATCAATTGAACACACGCAATAAGAATTTGAAAATAAAATCTTCTGAAGTTGAGAATTTGCATTCTCCTGCAAATAAAAATTTGTATTAGATTATATCATTCTGGATATTCAACAGAAACAACTACTTTTGGCTATTTGTCATACATCCAAAAACAAAAGCACCCAGATGACAGGAGCTGAATGTCAACAAATAATTCTCAGATGTCAGTTCCGTTATAGTTTTAGTTATATCATAGATATGAAAATTGTGTATTTCATCAAGAATGGCTGAAAGAATAACTAGACTTCAGGTTACTGAGGAGGGATTGATACCATTTTACCATGTCCCAAAGGTATGTAAATGTTATTGTATCGAACGGCACCTGTGCCAATCACTATCCTGAGCAAAATGATTGAAAAATGGCACTATCCTGTGCAGTAATTTGTTCTTAATTTCGCGATTTGATAATGAGATGAGAATTATGCCATCCGATATCAATTGAATGGTAGATGTCAAAAACCTAAAATACAGGAGACCAAAAAGTTGTATTTTAAGTTGCTTAATCTAATAAAAATAAGAATTTACAAAAAAAAAATCAAGTGGCGTAAGTACTTTTTTTTACAATATTGTTGGCTGTGGTGTTCACTGAGACGCCACTGGCCCCAATAAATTCAATCTAAATAAGGCTAAATAGGCGCCTTATTTGTTCAAATGAAAGTACTAAATTTCAACCAAATCGGTTCCAGGATATTCATTATATTTTATAATTACCACTTTTTTTCTTTAATCTCAACGTCCTGTAATTCAGAAACGAAGCAACTTCGGGCATATGTTTATAGAAATTTTTCTTCTCAAAATGACCTAACAAATCACCCGCTACAGTTAGGAACCGTAGTTAGAAAAAAACCCTGTATAAAAATAAAAGAGTGTCAACATATTTTTCAGTAGTTTATGAAATGTTTCTGTAGATCAGTAGATCAATATGCAAATCAGGAGATCTACTGACGAACGAAAAGTACTTGCCTTCTGAAATGGCCGGTTTTTCGTTCGGAAATCAGAAAGTAAAGTGTGATGTTTTTGTAGAGTTCGACGAAAAAATCACTTACTCCAGTTGATTCCCGATGGCATCCGGTTTCTCGGATATTGTCGTATCCAGCGATAGCGTCGGCTCGTCCTCGGTCACCTCGTAGGTCTCGACTAGCCAGACCAGCCGGTAACGGTGATGCACGAACCGTATCGAGCCGATGCCTGCCTGCAGCAAAACGCCGCAGTCCACGAGGACTTTCACGATGTCCGACAGGGGGAGTCTCGTTTTTTCGGCAACATAAAACCGATCCTGAAATAAATAAATAAATAATAAATAAATTGACTTTCATTATACATTCTACATCTCAACAAGGGTCATATTCGATTACAAGAATAATAATAGGTGACACAGCCAGCAGTTATTATCACAAATGTACAAAAGGTAAAGTTCATCCGGAAGGATAATTCTCAACTTTACCTCATCAACAGTCACAAAGAAACACAACTGTAGAAAATAAACTAAACTAGAAGTTAAATAAATACAAAAAGCTCGAAGTCATTTCCACACGATGTTCGTAAAATAAACAACAACGGTAGATTTAGGAAGAAAAACAACTATTTTCCTGGCTATTGCCACGCAGAACATTGAATTACATCCTCCCGAAATCTGCATCGACTCGTATGAACGAATACTGATACAAGTGATTCTATCCTGAATGCCTATTGATTTATATTCAGCCAGGCCACGCTAGATACCTACAGACCAAGCTCTTTGACTCTCATCAGTGCAGGGCAGTCACCAGCCAGCAGGTCCTAAGACCGTCGACTAAGCGTAGCCTAGCCAAACAAAAATCAAGTCGGCATTATATTCCCCCAGAGGCGTCTTTCATAGAAAACATGAGAGCCACGCCATCTGAGTAGAACAGATGAAAGAATCACTCCATATCTGAAATTTCCATACGGGAGTGACTGGTTGCCCGACTGGCGTAATTTCAACTACGAAATAGCCACAATGCTCAAAGTGAAATGAAATGTTATATAAATACAAAAAGCTCAAAGTCCCACACATTTATTTAACATTTCATTCCACTTTGAGCATTGTGGCTATTTCGAAGTTAAACTAGAAGTGGTAAAAAAAGTGGGAAAAGAACAGGAATAGTATATACACCAATAGGTACTGCAATAGTACATATACCTATAAACAATGAAACAATCAGTTATGGCCTAAATTCAAATCACAGTTTAAATTTAACATTTCTTTTGAAAGCTTGCAAACTAGTGATTTCACTTCCTGATTTTTGGTTCATTATGTTTGGAGCAATATATGAAAAGCCACATTTGAAGACGTTTGTGGTATGATGAGGTATATTCAATTGCATTTGATAGCGAGTATATCTCTATCATGTATTTCGTTTTTGAATGTCAGCTTCTTGAATATATAGATACTAGGTGACTTTGTTTTATAAACATTGAATATGAAAAATGAAATATGCAATTGCCTTCTTTCATTTATCCTCATCCACCCAATATTATTAATAATTCCACTAGTACTATCTCTACGTCGCAGATTGATACAGAATCGAATACATGCATGATGTATCATTTGAATCTTAGACTTGGTAGTTCCTGTCAGAAATGGGGCATAGACACAGTTACAGTAATTGAACAGGGATAACACCAAAGAGTCACTGAATATGATTCTGATTTGATAAAGATGCTTCTGTTTCGTGAAGCCACATTGAAAGAGTCTTATGTGTTCATTGAAAGATAACTGTTCATCCATTCGTAATCCCAAATTATTAATACACGTCGAATAGGGCACAATCACAATAGTATAAAGCTAAATATTGGATTCGAAAGCTGTTTAGAATATGAAAATAAAAGAATAGCAATTATTGACACCAACAGAAATTGAATAAATTTCGAGGGGTAGGTACTTTTTTCTTTCATCATGAAGTTCAGGAAATTAGTGCAAACATTCAGGAAACTTGAGTACCAACAAATAATTTCAAATAATAACTCTATCCATACCAATATAATTTAATGCAATGTTTTGTATATGGGTGTGGAGAATTTTCAACGTATCTTATCTACTCCCCAACATAACAGTTATTTGTTCTACTAGACAGAAAAATACAAGATTTATTACCGCGGCTGGCGTTTCATAGCCTAGGCGTAGTACCGCCAACTAATGTCAGTAAAAATGTTAGCCCTCATTAGGTCCACATATTCCATAGTTAATAAATAGTGATGAATATTGATAAATGTTGAAGTTGGTAAAATTAAAACTAGCGTGTGATGAAATACTGTATCAGCAACAAGGTAAATATGAAAATTTGAGACATGGACAATGTTGCCACATATTTTCAAGGCCCATCGATGAAATATCTACTTTAAAACAAAAAATTATCTAAATTGATGGCTATCAATTGAATTTTCTAAGAAGTTATATAAACTGGTTAACATTGATAACGTCGTGATTCAAAATATAGCCTGAATTCAAAGTAGAATAACTCACGAATTTCCTCACCATATTGAAATCGGTTTTCACCGATGATCAGCCAAATCTCTTGACAGTTTGTTGTGACAATATGAAACTTCTGTAATCTCAGATACCATTGCTACAGGGTGCTAATTGAATGGTTGTATCCTACCTCCTTACCTCGTATAAGCCTCATGAGGACTGTATTCATCTTCATCAGTATGAAAAACATTATATCGAAAATATGGCAATTCTGCAGTCTCATTCATATTTCCTCGTAAAAACCTCATGAAAAGTTACTGTATTTATACATTTCACAAATTTCGACAATGACCGACATTAAATTTCTTTTTCGGAACATAGCGATTTTCATCACGTTCAAACATATCCTTCTTCATCCCGGGACAATCTGGATCTAGTTTTTATCGCACCTTGTATATCCATCGCAAAGAATAAATATGAATTCCATACTTCTGGAACTACAATCGTAATTTTTTGAAATTAATAATTTATCTTAACGAAAATGCATCATTTCGATTAAAAATGCGTACTTTCATTATATGACCTTCGATCCAAGAAATTACAAAACCATTCCGAGGTCATACACCAGACACTCTCATGACGAAGTAACACTCCATTATTTGACTAGTAACACAGAGAAAATTATGTTTCATCTACTGAAGACTACGTTATTCTCCATTCCATCATTCAGTATTTCTTGTATCACTTTGTATAGACTTTCTCAGAATTTTCTGTGTTCGAACATGATCACATATACGACGACTATACATACAACGTTGATTCTCCGGAGAAGAATTCCAACTTTCAATTCCATTCAATCGATCGTCGAAAAAATGTTTCATTCTGAATGATTCATAACACGATTATCAAAGCTCAGAATTTGAAAATTCCGAAAATGTTTCGAGAGAAAGCATCAATCAAGAGGATACAGGTGAGAAAAAAAAATATATCTGTTTAAACGGTAAGGTGACGACCACGATGCAATTTTACACCCATTCAATTAGCACCCTGTAGCAATATTATCTGAAATTACGGAAGTTTCATATTGCCACAACAAACTGTCAAAAGATTAGGCTAACCATCGGTGAAAACCGATTTCAAATTGGCGAGGAAATTCGTGAGTTATTCTACTTTGAATTCAGGCTTTATTTTGGATCACGACGTTATCAATGTTGACCAGTTTATATTTTTTAAAAACGCAGAGCATCATCTTTCTGAAGAACATAACTTTGACTTCCTGTATATCGGAAAACAAAGCTTCCTCGAATATATCTTCACATGAAATTTTCGTCTTGGAAACAGGCGTTCCTCATGCTGATAAAGTCCTGCTCCAAAAAACTTACTCACCCTACTATAATCGTGCTGTCATATTCGATCACACCAGTGATATGTATTTAGGAAAGGTTTGCATATTAAATCATCGAATTTAATGAAGAGACGATATTTTTGTTCACACAAACAATTCAATGATATTTGTCATAACATGTCGAGTCTGGTAGGAAAGGTATTTCAAATTCCAACCCGTTATTGTCGTCAGTTATCACGCAACTCAACATACAGAAGCTTGTTCTGAATACATGCGCAGTGAGTGAATTCAACTTCAATTCAACTTTGATATCAACTTGACAACACAAAAATTCGGTAGGCAACAAAATTCTCATTTTAATGTCGAGTTTACTTCGACAGAAGAAGCTCTCGCGTAATTATAAGTGAACAAATGTTTGTTCTATTCAAGAAAAAATGTATAAGAGATAGTTTCTACTTTTCCTATAAGGGGGGGTGGCTATGATAATGTTGTTTGCGGTATCGTGAATTTGATACACATAATACGTAGTACAATGCTCATAATTCAAGTCTATACTCACATACTGGGTATCAAGCAATTATTCAAGAATATTGAAAATTATTTTTGTTTCGAATATTTTGCGTTCTCGCTACAATCATTTAATTCTCTTGTCCTGGATAGGTTGGCAGTATTTGTTTATCAAATGGACACTCGATATTTTCAGTAAACTAGCGCCATTGACAGGCAGACAAATTTTTGATCAATGAACAGACCATATTTTATCTCTCTCCTATTAATTAGGTTCTCATTTAGAAGGTATACTCAACATTTTATTGAATACGGGATGATCTTCAGACTTTATTTTTTGAAGTGTTTTATTAACATGTTTGATATGAAAAAATGATAGTAAATTACAAGTGATACAAAAAAATAGCTATGCTAGTAAAACGAACATCCCCAATCAGCTAATGCTGGTCTTGGGATCAGTAGATCATACTCTAGCGAACTAATAAGTACTATTTACAGTTAAAGTAACAACATCTAGTATGTATAATCTATCTATGATTCATTCAATGTACAGTTTGTTATTAATATATATAGTATAATATATACTTTATTCATATCTCTTTGATGCTTTTCTTAAACTTGCTATAACTATGACCTAGTTTAATTTCATCAGTAAGCCTGTTATACTCTTGAACAGCACGACTAATAGGATTATTTAGTGCAATGTTTGTTCTTACATTTGGCAGTGCTATATTATTCTGGTTTCTTGTATAATGGTTATGTATGTTATGGCGGTGCAGAATTATTCCATTGCATTTTTGCAATGAATTAACGATTTTGTAGGCACACTTGACTTGTTCAATTCGGAATATACACTCCAGTTTAATTAAATTCTCGTTTCTTTATAGGATAAAACCTTATTCTGTAGAATTTGCATTGTTTTGAATTGTGTTTGTGAACAGGTTCCCCAGAGAGTTATTAGATATCTAAATACACTGACAAAATATGGATTATAAATGTTGTATTTCATTTGTTGATTTGTGACATTTTTGAGTTTATATAATGCACCTATCATTGGTATTATTTTGGTACGAATTTTTTCTATGTGCTCAACCCAATTCAGCTTACTACTGATAAGTAATCCCAGATATTTGGTGAATGTAACCCTAGTCAAAACATAATCTCCCAGTTGTATATGGATGTTTATCATTTCCGTATTTTTTTGCTGGAAACACATATAAACAGTTTTTGCTTCATTAATTTTCAAGTTATTTGTCAGGATCCATTTTCTATAGAGTTAGTTCTAAGTCTTTACTGATCAAGGTCTCTAGCATATTTAGTGGTGCACCAGTATAGATCAGTGCAGTATCGTCTGCAAAGGTAAAGTATATTGCTTGAAGATTGCATTTTTTCAGGCTCAGCACATGTAAGGAATAGCGAAGGAGACCAAGTACCGAACCTTGCGGCATTTCACAGTTGATATATGAAGTAACACTATATGTTTCTAATTTTGAATTGACTCGGCCGTTACTTGATGGAAATCCATGATAAATGTAAAAACTTCACAAACGATAAGATTTCCACAAAATTTATTATTAAAATTTTGTGGAAATCTTATCGTTTGTGAAGTTTTTACATTTACTATATGTTTCGTTCATATATACAACTTGTCTTCTTTTTTGTAGGAATGATTTTAATATGCTATAGCATAACCCCCTTATTTCCATTAAATATAGTTTCCTCAATAAGGTCTGGTGGTCATTGAATTGAGTTTGCAAACTTCTAGATCGTCAATTTATTACACCATGCGGCCATTCAAATGCAAGATATAGAGAATAGAGAATGAAGAAATCTCAGCAAATCATCAGAATCATTCACAACCAACCTTCAACTGCTGCCCAGTGGCTCCAAGAAATCCTTTCTCGGCAACGAAATCAACGATGGCCATCATCAAATCGACATCTTCTTTTTGACCGCCCTGCTCTTTCAAAAGATCCGTCACTTCTGTTAAAGGTACCACCATATCGACCAAAGGATCACTGGAAAAAAGGAAAACAATATGTACAGGGCAAATAATTTTTTATTCAGATTTCGATGATCTTTTTTTCTGAATTGTAGTTTCAGGAACGTAACATGCGCTTTTCAAAGTTGTTGAAAATTACGGAATAATTCGAACAGTCAATGCGATATTCCGACAACCGATATCGATCTTGATGGCAAAATTATTTTTGAGTGGTTTGGAAACTATGACCCTTTAAAATCGTGATAATTACACCATTTATAACTCAAGAACGGCCGGACCAATGTTATTGATATTTAATTTTTCGAATTTCTCCTAGCCCGAATAAGCATTAAAATTAGTGAAAATTAGGAAATTTAAGATGGCGGATCCAATATGGCGGACGAGTTTTGTAATCAATTCAAAATTGGTTGCTGTAGTTTTCGGGGTCAGAGATTATGATTTTCTCGTGAAAATTTAGAAATTCAAGATGGCAGAACCAATATGGCGAAAGAGTTTTATAATTATAATTCGATGCCATTCAAAATTTGTATCTGGAGTTTTCGGGGTCGAAGATTGAAAATTGGGGAATTCCAGATTGCAGATCCAATATGGCAAACGAGTTATGAAATTATAATCCGATTTTATACAAAATTGTTATCTGGGGTTTTTGAGGTAGGAGATTATGAATCATTCGTCAAAATTGGGAGATTCCAGCGAACTAATAATGAGTAGAAAAATAATAATCTAATAGCTCGACGATACAATTCACAAGTTACTTAGTTTTCACCTCTATCGGCAATCCCCAAAAACTGCCCCCTCACTTTTCATTTCCATATTTTCTCGAATATTTCAAAATCGTTAAGAGGTAGATACATTTTTTAGTTCGGCCATCTAAAAAATCGTAAGAAGGATTGCAATTTGAATTGTGATTATCATATCGATCATCATACCCATACAAATACAGTCCACTTTCTATCAAGCATCGAACATGTTGGTCCTTCGAGCCGGATCTATTCAAACCAAATAAGCAAACCTTACCTCTGAATTTTCTCCCACATTTTTTTCGCTGATATAGCATTCTCCAAATAATGCACCATGTGATGCTCGACTAAAAGGTCCAAATCCTCCATATCCACCTTCGCCAATTGCACGTACTGGGCGACAAAGTGCTTTCTGAGCCGCTTCAAGGTCTTCTCGTCGGAGGCCAGGTCAGCGCTGAGCTCCTTGTTGCTGAGCAGGTCGCTCAGCTCGGTAATGTACGGCACGAGGCGGTCTTCGTTGGGGACGGGCACTTTCAGCATTTCTGAGGAGCGAAACAAAGGGGAATGTTCGTTGATATTCATAGCTCCGTAAGACTGTATCGATGAAAATCCTCTCGTGGAAAAAACCAGATTGTCGGTTTCCTGGAGCAATCCGAGATGTTCGCAAAAATCTGTATTTTTAGTTTTTTTCAGGATATGGTTCCTTAGCTCATTTAAGATGAAAAGTTTACATGAACATATGCCCTAAACCTCTTGACTTTCTCGCTATAGGGTGTTGGAATGTTTAAGAAAAAATTCGTTTTATTATAACTTCAATACTATTCTCGATATGTTCATGAAATTTTACATGCTCCTCCTAACCATATGATAGTTTGTAGATAAGATGTGTTTTTGTCTAATTTTCAATCAACTAAAGTCAATTGATTGAATTAGCCAAAATGGTTTTAATTTTTTTACGCGAAAAACTGAGGTCGCGAAACTGTTGCAAAATTAATGAGGATCAAAGAAGATTTTTATTTTTGGAAAAAGCAAAAGCGTACCATTTTTTTGAAAAATCTTCGGTAAACATCCCATCAAAAATGCCTATTGGTATTTTGTGAGTGCATGTCAAATTTCATCGAAATATCTAGAACAGTATTGAAGTTATGATAAGAAACCAATTTTTTTCTTGAAATTTCAATACCTGAAGGCTTTAGGGCATATTAATGTTCATGAACTTTTCTTCTTGAAATGAGCTGAGGAACGATATCCTATAATTTTAGTCATCAGTTAAATTACACCCTGTACTTCTCAGACCAAAACAATTCGATACAAGCAAATGCACCTCAGTACAAAATTGTTCATCAGAGGAGACCCTGTCCCAGCTGACAGAGATTTTACTATTGATGATGTAATTATTGATTGTGCTAAAGTTCAGTATCATTCTTTTTCGAAATCTATTGAATGTATATTCTTTGAATGAACTGAAAAATTGTTCTTTCATTCATTTTGTGAGGAAACAAATATATCTAACTTAAACTTTACATACATTGCATACTCATGAAAGGAGGCAGTTGAATTCATTAATAGCAAATGTACATGACTCCAACATCACGATGCAATCAGTATTCTACAACGGATTCATTTTATATAATTCATTACCTTATGAATTGAAACATATGGATGATGAAACAAGATTCAAAATTAATATTAAAAAATATATACTTATAAACGGAGCAATTCATTCTCATTTGAATACTTGGATTGATATTGTTTTAATTATGTTATATTGACATAACTTGTTAATCAGTTGTTTGTTTTTTTATTGTTTCAGAGGGTGGTCTAGTGAGCATAAAAAAAAGCATCATGAGAATTGATCAAATTATGATGTCTAAACATCCCAAGCCATTTTCCGAATTTCGATTTACAACCCAAATTCCGATTATCAACCCCAAAAATATTTGAGGCTGACTCAAAAGTGATCATTTGTAGCCAATGCACTTTGTTAATTTTTTCATACTCAAATACACTACGATCTGCTTTATGACGTCATTGATCTGATTTGATCGGCTTGCTCTAAGCATTGCCAAGGACACAAAAGACCACATGGAAAATTAATATCCAAATTAAATAACGAAAAAACGAAACAGAATGTGAAGTCACAAGTTAAACGAAAGGGTCAGTAGCGAGTATTTCCGCCGCGGGCACGAAAAACTTCTTGGCAAACACGGCCTATACCCATGATAAGAGACCTAATGTCATGTTGGTCCAGATCTTCCCAAATTTGAATCATCAGTCTCTGCCGTGCGTTTTCCATAGTATTCAAGTTACGTTCCTCTTGTAATCTTGTCCCAAGAATGTTGATAGATTCTCAATGGGGTTTCAATCAGGGCTCCGAGCTGGCCCTGCCATGATGGTAGCGATACAGACTTCCTTTAATTAATTTCTCACAACGCGGGCGCCATGAGGCCTGGCATTATCTGGCATCAACAAAAATCCTTACACTATATGTGGTTCTAAAATCACCTATATGTACCTTTGAGCTGCGAGGCTTCCATTATTATGGTCACAAGTTCCATGCGACCAGTCAAAGAAACGCCTTCTCAGACTATAGCCTGCTACTTTCGTGCTTATGATGCCAATTGAATTCAATAAAATCATGTTATGGTATAAAATTGTGTTTATGGTGAAGTAGGAAAGATAAATGGAGTGAATCCAAAAAAGGAATGTTGAAAGGCTAAAGTGTACTTTCAATTTCAACTTGATAACGTAACTGTTACACTCCACAGGGTATTACAAATTTCATGAAGAAAACGAGCTTTAATTGCTACACCCGGTAGTCATATAAAAGAGGTTCCAATACAGAAACAGTTTGCACAGCAACGTCCAGAAGGAAATAACCTGTCATTCAAAACAAAATCGCCCGAATCGGACAAGTATTATTGACGAAAATGGTTCCTAAACGTTGGCTACTTTTTAGTGCTGCGTTTAGTTTATTGGACAAGTGTATCTGAGAATATTCCTTTTCAAGAGTGTAAAACTAATTCTATGAGAATCCATCAAAAGAAAACCTCATGATCTTGCTCACCTTCCCTTATCTCTTCCACCGTGAGCACCCGCTCCTTCTCAGCTTTCCTAGCCGTCTGATTCTCCCCCACCTCCAAATTCTCCAACTCTCTTTCCCTCCCCTTCTTCCTCAGAGAATCCGATTTTGCGAAATCCGGACTGGGACTCCTCCTGCCCCTTTCCTCCGCTATGCTATCGGATACCCTCTCACCTAAAATAATATTATTATTATGCCTGCTTTATAAGCTACTAATGTTCTGATAAATGGGCCTTTCCAGTCATTTCTAATACCTTAGAATACTTTTTGGCAACCGTCCGGGAAGTTTTCACTTCCTGGACGATTTTTCTTCAAGAAAGTAGTATTTTTCCGGCCTAGTCCGGGAAGTAAGTACTTCCCGGACAAGGCCGGGAAGTATCACATCGTTGTTGTCACTGTAAATATGAAAATCTTGGTAGATAAGGTTTTGATAAATGCAGATGATAATTACCATATCAGCGAAATATCGGATGACATTGGATTGACATTTGGATTTTTGAAAGTTTGGTTGCAATTATCGCAATAAATATCGAAAGCAGCAACGATAGTGAGATTCAAAATGTCCATACAAAATTTCCAATGTAGCAGTTAGTAGGTATATGTATTCTGTTCAAATTTCAGTATTTTATACAAATAATAATAATAATTATTATTATTTATTTCATTCTTTGCTATAAACATCACATTGCATCTCATATAAATATAAATATATTCGTCCAAACGAATTATTGCATAGATTTCGGGAGGATGTAATCCAATGTTCTGCGTGGCATATAGCAAGCAAAGTATTTGTTTTTCTCTCTTTATCTACCATTTCCGTTCATTTTATGAACTAGTGTGGTAATGACATTGAGTTTCAGTCTCTTTGTGACCATTGCATTCCACTTCGAGTATTTGACTCTTTCCTAGTTGGATATAGTTTATAGTTAACCAACTTGATATTAACGTCCATTGAGGTCCTTCAGCCTTATTATCTTCCAATATTTAGAGAAGAAATAATTTTCTAATCAATTTACCCACTCGAGAAGAATTCTTCTACTATAGTGTTGAATATGTAGTCTTTTCAATGTGTATTTATTCAAATATGTTCACCCTGTATACATATTCTATGTTTTGTTTTAAAAAGAATTGAATTTGTTGATTGTCAATCTTAATCAGTAATTGTCATAATTATTATAAAACTATTACAAATCTATTTTCCCGTTGAACTGCGTTATCCTTACTCAAATCACAACAGGTTATGGGCCCAGATAGCTCAGTATAAAATTAACGAGGAAAAGTTGTAAGAATGGCAGTGTCACTAATGCAGGTAGAAAAATTAGGCAAACAGAACTACGATACCTGGAAATTGCAAATGGAGGCAATTCTGATCAAAAACGATCATTGGTCTCATGTGAATGGTGAAGCAATCAAACCAAACGATGCTGTAGCAGCAGAAGCATGGAATAAAATTGACCAGAAAGCTAGAGCAGACATAATATTGTCAATGCAAGCATCTGAATTGTGTCTCATAAAACAATGCAGAACTAGTAATGCAGTATGGGAGAAACTCAAAAACGTATATGAATCCCAGGGACCAGCCAGAAAAGCTACTCTACTAAAACAAGTTCTTTTCACCAAAATGACAGAAGGAGATGACATAAAAGATCATTTAAATAAATTCTTTGACACCGTCGATAAAATCAGAGAAATGGGAATTGAAATGGCTGACGATTTACTATCGATCCTAATTTTATATAGTTTACCTAAAAGCTATGAAAATTTTCGTTGCGCCATCGAATCAAGGGATGAACTGCCCAAACCAGAACCTCTCAAGATCAAAATCATTGACGAGTTCAACGCAAGAAAAGGAAATGAAAGTAGCGGGCATGGGGCATTATACGCAAAATTCAAACAATTCCCCAGAAAAAGTGTAAACTGGAAATCTGAATACGAACATTCAAAAATAAAGAACGAAAATTCAGATGAATCGCTCTCGAAGCTGAACAAATTCCGATATAAATGTAATTTTTGTCACAAACGAGGACATAAGGGTTCAGAATGTCGTAACAGAGCGGTTGGCAGACAAAGTGCATCAAATGTGGAAGAGGAAGCACTGATGATACAAAATTCTGAAGATCTTGCAGAAAATGAAGAGATCACTAGCATGCCAATGGCTTTTGGTGCAAATACTTACAATGCACAGGATTGGTGTTTGGATAGCGGAGCAACCTCACACATGTGTCACGATTTATCACAATTTTAGGATTTTGTCCACGTCAACAATCAAAAGGTACGTTTGGCGATCAACAAAACTACTGATATAATTGGAAAAGGTACTGTCCACTTAACAGTCTCTGAAGGTACAGAAACCAAAATTCTAAGACTGGAAAATACTCTTTATGTTCCTGAAATAAAGACAAATCTCTTATCGATCTCTAAAGCATCAGACAAAGGCCGAAATATAATATTTTCAAAAAGGGATGCAAGAATCGAAAATGAAAATGGCAGAACTGTAGCCAGTGCAATCAGAAAAGGTGATTTGTACTATATTCAAGTCGAATCAGAAGGATCAGCTATAGCAATCAGTGAAATGAGTGATTTGGAAAAATGGCATCAGCGATATGGCCACTTAAATGAAAGTACCCTGAAGAAAATGGAGAAAGAAAAATTAGTCAATGGAATTTCATTTAGTTTACGTGACCAGTTACCTACCTGTGAAGTCTGCATTGAAAGTAAACAATCGGCTGCGATTTTACCTCAAAGTTCCATGAATAGATCTGAAAATTTACTGGAAATCATTCATTCGGATATTTGTGGACCGATGAGAACTGAATCAATCGGTGGTGCATCGTATTTTGCCACATTCATTGATGATAAAAGCAGATGGGTTGAAGTACACTTTTTGAAACATAAAAATGATGTTAAAGAAGCATTTTGGAAATTCAAAAAATGCATGGAAACACAAACAGAACGAAAAATCAAAATTTTGAGATCAGACAATGGATTGGAATATTGCGGAGCTGAGTTTACAAAATGTTTGGAAGAAAATGGCATAAGAAGACAGTTCTCGACGGCGTACACACCACAACAAAATGGAGTTTCTGAACGAATGAACCGTACGCTGGTTGAAATGGCTCGATGTATGCTAGTTCAGTCGAAGTTATCAAATCATTTTTGGGCAGAAGCTGTAGCTACCGCAGCATATATAAGAAATCGAAGCTGTTCAAGAAGTTTGATCAACAAAACCCCATTCGAAGTAATGAAAAACAGAAAGCCAACAGTTTCACATTTCAAAACTTTCGGATGTAAAGTTTTCGTTTTGATAAAATCTCCGAAGGGAAAATTCCAATCCAGATCACATGAATGCATGTTCGTCGGTTATTCATCTGACTCAAAAGCATATCGTCTGTGGGACCCAAATTCAAGAAAAATTATCAAAAGTATAGATGTGAAATTTCTGGAAGATAAGCAGTCCACTAGTGAGAGATCGTCAGAAAATATCACATTTTATGAATTCCAAGTAGGACTTGATAATAATCTTGAATTTAGCCAAGGAGAAAACCGATTACCCAGTATAGAGAATGATATCGATGACAGAAACCAATTACCCTGTATAGAAAACCATATTGATGACAATGTCACTGTCGATGCAGAAAATTTGACTGAAAGTCAAAGTTCAGATACTGGATTTCGAGTTACTAAAAGAGGACGAGGAAGACCTTCGATAATCAGAAACGGCTCAAGAGGAAGACCAACGAAACGATACAATATGATTGAAATCAACTCAGAAGAAACAGTCCAGATGAGTATCGATGAAATCAGCAATCCAACTTTGGAAGAAGCTCTGAATGGACCGTATTCGAGAGAATGGCACAAAGCTATGAAACAAGAATTTGATCAGTTAGTGAAAAACAATGCATGGATATTAGTTGACCGTCCTGATGGTAGAAAAGTAATCGGAAATCGATGGGTGTTGAGGATTAAGTACAAGAGTACCGGAGAAGTGGAGCGTTTAAAAGCTCGTCTCGTAGCAAAAGGGTACAGTCAACAACCAGGAGTGGATTATCACGAAACTTCTTCTCCAGTAGCAAGACAGAGTTCCATTCGTACAGTGATAGCATTATCAGCTGAATTGAGTCTCACACTTTATCAAATGGATGTAGTGATGGCGTATATCAATGGTGAATTGAATGAAACCATATACATGGAACAAGCTGAAGGTTTTATTGTTCCAGGAGAGGAAGATAAAGTATGTTCCCTACAGAAATCTTTATATGGTCTCAAGCAATCAGGTAGACAATGGTATAGAAAGTTAGACCAGTACCTGGAATCATTCGGAATGACACCATTGAATGCTGATAAATGTATCTATATTTCTCGTCGAGCAGATGCATACATCATCATGTGTGTATATGTAGATGATTTAGTTGTGGCTACAAATTCTGACACATTATATAATAAACTGAAGAACGAACTGAATACAGTATTCCAAATCAAGGATTTGGGTTTATTACATTACTGCTTGGGAATAGAATTTCAACAAGATAAGATAACACCAAGTCCGTTTTCATGTCGCAGCACAAGTATATTCTTGATATACTGAAGAAATTCAATATGCAGGACTGTAAACCCATTCAAACTCCGATGGATAGCAGTATCAAGCTATCTAAAGAAATGGAACTCAGTCAGAAGAAGATATAGAAGAAATGAAAAGCATACCTTTCAGGCAAGCCATTGGATCAATCATGTACCTGGCTGTATCAACACGTCCAGACATTGCATACACAGTCAGTGCATTGAGTCAATTCAACAATAATCCCGGACAAAGACATTGGATAGCTACAAAACGTGTATTACGATATCTCAAGAAGACAAGTGATTTTGGATTACATTTTCGAAAATCTGGATACCCTCTCGAAGGATTCGTAGATTCTGATTGGGGAGGAGACTTGGATAATCGAAAATCCTACAGCGGCTTTACTTTTATTCTTGCTGGAGCAGCGGTGTCATGGGAATCCAGAAAACAAAAATCGATTGCTTTATCAAGCACTGAAGCAGAATATATGGCCCTCTTGGAAGCTGCTAAGGAGGCCATATACATGAGAAATTTTTTGAAAGAAATTGGCTATTCAGAAGAAGATGCGAAAGCTACCAACCTCCATTGTGACAACCAAGGAGCTCAAAAGCTGACCAAAAATCCTATCTATCATTCCCGTACGAAACACATAGATATTCGTCACCACTATATTCGAGATGTTTATGAAAAAGGAGAAATAGATATTAAGTATCTGTCTACAGAAAATATGACAGCAGATATTTTCACGAAGGCGCTTTCAACAGAAAAATTCAAGAAACACTCAAGAGAATTGGGCCTCCGAGAAGTTAACTCACATTGAGAGGGGGTGTTGAATATGTAGTCTTTTCAATGTGTATTTATTCAAATATGTTCACCCTGTATACATATTCTATGTTTTGTTTTAAAAAAGAATTGAATTTGTTGATTGTCAATCTTAATCAGTAATTGTCATAATTATTATAAAACTATTACAAATCTATTTTCCCGTTGAACTGCGTTATCCTTACTCAAATCACAACATATAGTTTATAATTTCAACGTAATTTTTCAATGTTTTTAAGTACCATTTGTATCTTTCGACTTGTCTCATGATGTGTAAATGACCTGAAGAGATTAAACTATCTATCTATCTATCTATCTCTATGCACTCTCATACAAACATCAAAGACAGAGAAAGATATATGGATGTACTCTACCCTGGACTTGTGGAGGAAGGAAAATGCGAGGTTCCTTTATCTAAGCGAAAAACAGATTCTTGTCCTTGTCTGGCAAAACACATGATATGCCTCAAAATCGTTTGTGGTTATGTTTTATCGTCACTGCTTGTCTTGTGAGCGTACCCTAATATACAAAAAACGTCGAAACAGCAGTGTCAAGTACATTTATGAACTCAACTCTAGTGGAACTCCGGCTGTCAAAAAGAAAGCTACTCCATATATCTTATCCACGACAACCTGCTACGCATGTGAGTAATTTTGTTTTTTGATCAAACTATCTATGAAGAAGCAAATTACAAAATCGAGAACACAAAAACAGCATGTTCAAACTAACAATCAAAAGCATGTATTTTGAACTGAGTTTTCTAATGTTCTGGTTCCCACGAAAAGGGATATCCTGTAATATTCAAAGAACATCGTGAGAACCAAGGGAAATAAGGTAGGAATTGGTGTTCTTCTTAAATTTCTGGAGGTTATATGCCTCGGGGAACACCTTCCTTGGCGATGTATTCCAGAGCCTCTCCATTCGTTGAATGAACGAGTCTTTGGAAAGAGATGTTCTGCAGGTCTCCAAAGTGACCACGAAGGGGTGCGAAGCCTCAACTCGACGGGTTAATCTCGCGGGGACTGCCAAGGGAAGTACAATTGTTGATATTTCAGAAGAGCATCGTCCATGAAAATATCTATAAAATAGAGATGAATAGAGCCAGATCGCCAACTTTTCTACGGTGTTCCAGAGAAGTGAGTGAGTTTGTGAGCGAGGCATCACCCACGAGACGAATTGCCTCTTTTTGGACAAAATCCAACAGTTTGAGGGTATGTTTGGGTGCTGCACTCCAAATATGGGAACAGTATTCCAGGATAGGTCGGATCTGTGCCTCATAGATTATAAGCAGCTGACTGGAAGTGAAATAGCTCCTAGCCCGAAACAAAAAACGAAGTTTTTGGGATGCACTTTTAGCAATTGATCTCACATGATTTTCCCAAGAAGGATTATTGCTGATAGTAATACCAAGCATCAAAATGGATATCTTCAAAGGTATGATTACTCCTGACAAGCTTATGTTGGGCATAGTGAGATCGGCTTTTCGAGAGAAAAGGCATGCTTGTGTTTTGTTTGCATTGAAATCTACCAAGTTATTGGACCCCCATTCGAGAATTGTTGCCAAGTCTATATTTATGTTGTAAAATAATCGGTTAAATAGTATCACTTGTGGTATTCCAAATCAAAATTCATTAGGAGAAAACATAGTTTTGCTCACCGTCCCTTATTCCTTCCAGCGTAAGCTCCCGCTCCTTGGCTGTCCGTCTGGCCGGCCTATCTTCCTCCACCCCCAAATTCGCAAACTTTCTTTCCCTCCCCTCCTCGCTCGGCCTATCCTTGGCGAAATCCGGACTGGGACTCCTCCTGCCCCTTTCCACTGCTATGCAATCGGACACCCACGTGCGCAGGCGTTCGATGGTCTCGAGGTCGCTGGGAGCGTCATCTAAGGCGTCGGTTTGCGCATCGTCGGCGTCGGGAGGTCGGACGATCGAAGAGGAGGTATTTCTGTTTTAAATGATAATAATAGTAACGATGATTTTCGCACAGCTAAAAATGCGAACCGTTTTAAGCCAGTATACAGCGTTACAAGATTTATTGATAAATCTAATGATTTCGAAAATGTCGCTTTCACATCATAATATGTGATACCTGAAATGACGTATTCAACAGAATATATGGGTGGAAATTGGATTATTTTTTAATATTATATACCGAACTAGCTGTCCGCCCCATAGGTGCACCCATTTTAAAAAAAGACATATGTTTCAGTCATTCTGACCCATGCGAGTATCTACAGTACATATTTTCTTTAGACGCTATATGTACTTAAACATATTTTTTCTGCAACCGACACAAAAGTCGTCCATTTTGATACCAAAATTAGCTCTTAAATTGACGTTTCTATTACTGACACAAAAATTGGTATACTGCTAGGCAACATATTTAGTTCCTAGGAGCTAAAGTTGAGACGCATACCTGATTTGTTTTCGATTTCGGCAGATTTGGCATTTCATACCCATACTGTACATATAAATACACCTCATTATAGTTAAGTATTGGAATTATAAACATCCCAGTTAAGTATTTTTGTTTTGATCAGGGAAGCCTTCAAGATTCAAATAATTGCTGGATCTGTATTTAATTCGTTATTCTTGGGATGGATAACTTGTTTTTGAATAATCACGGCAAGCAATAGTTTTTTGTCTCAAACAACGATATTGTTTACCTTCATTTGATTATCAAGCGAAAAACATTGTATTATGGAGAGGAGTAAATAATCGCTACTATTATTGTTGATATGCTCACTAACCTAACATTTTCCACATCTTGTTCCTATATCTGGCACTGGCTCGGTATTTGCCATTAGAGCACCTGGTCCATACACAAATATGTCACTCTGTGATTGTATTTATATTGGAACTAAAATTCGAACATCCTTGAAAATTGAAAGAACCTGCTCTTGATGCAGGTAGAATGTTCTCACTACCCCGATTATTTGTCAATATTTGTTGCATTGCATACATATGGCACGGCATTGGTGGTAACTTCACATATTTATTTGAGTTTATTGTTTCGGTTGCAGAAAAAATAGCATGTTTCATTCGGATCAAAAGTGACTTTGTTCAACTTGCAAATTTTGCTTTCGCTCGGCTTCGCTAAACGCTTCGCCTCGCAAATGCAAAATTCGCTTGTCAAACAAAGTGTCACTTTTGATCCTAATAAAACAATCTACTATTCATTATCTCAGTATCTTTTGTATTTTTTTGTTGTTGTAGTATTACGTATTGAAAATGTCAACCCAATCGGTCAAGCCATTTAGTAGTTGACGTACCCACAGCAGCGCCACCTACCGCGTTCAATTGTATTTTCAAATCATCCAGGAAACCTGAGCAATGGAGCATTGTCCCGCAGTAAAAAGTAGCTTATGTTCATCAGGGATAATGTCGGCTCCTAATGGTAATATTTCTCAAATCGGTCTAGTAGTTTCGGAGCCCATTCAATACAAACAAACAATCAAATATTTAGTATAAACTACTCAACACTAATTTCGTCACTCACCAAAATGTCGCCCCTGTTATAATGTGAATAACTTTTTTCAGTTCTCAACAATTAGAATTTGGCTCACACTGTTCGATAGCCCATTCCTTCAGCTATAATCTCGTACTTCATTGAGACATAAGGGTATTCACATAAAATCTCTACATGGTGTTTTCCGACACTGTGCAAAATTTCGGAATATTCAAAAGGCTCTCAAATGGTGAAACATTTTTTTTTCTCAACTTCGACAACAGAGGCATGGAGATGATCTCATTTCCTCGAGATATTTCGCGAATCAACTTCCTATCTCTCTTATTTACAGAGTGGTCTCAAAAAATCAACTTTTTGGTTTTGCAGCCATAACTTTTTTCCACGTCAACCGATTTTGGAAATCTTAGGCTCATTCTGAAGATAAAACTTCAGATGAAGAGATCTGAATATCATAATTGACTCAAGATGGCTATCAAAGATCTAGAGTTTTCTTGAAAGTGACCCAAATCTGGAACGCCCTCCGAATCTCGATTGGGAGGAGAATTGAATGAAAATCAACGTGTTCTCGGAAAAACAATTCATTCTGGATGCGTCCATATTTTCCTCGGTCTCAGTAGTCAAGAATGTGCGTGAGAAAACACAATTGAAACATGTTCTTGCAGAAACATCAGACCATTTCTCCTCTGTAATGCATGGCCCGTAACCAACGTTACAAGAATCAGAGTAAGTGACTGACAAGTCAGGTTAGAGGTCGTTTTCGAATCATAAACAGATTTCGATAGTTTCGATGCCGCATCTAACGCGAATGTGGGTGACAACTTTGTTCTCGTTGATGACAATGCGAGACCGCATAGGGTTGTTGGTACACCATTTATGATGAGCCTTAGCTGGTCGGGTTTGTCAGTCCATTGTGATTCTTGTAACGTTGGTTACGGGCCATGCATTACAGAGGAGAAACGGTCTGATGTTTTTGCAAGAACATGTTTCAATTGTGTTTTCTCACGCACAATTCTTGACTACTGAGAGCGAGGAAAATATGGACGCATCCAGAATGAATTGTTTTTCCGAGAACAAGTTGATTTTCATTCAATTCTCCTCCCAACCGAGATTCGGAGGGCGTTCCAGATTTGGGTCACTTTCAAGAAAACTCTAGATCTTTCATAGCCATCTTGAGTCAATTATGATATTCAGATCTCTTCATCTGAAGTTTTATCTTCAAAATGAGCCTAAGATTTCCAAAATTGGTTGACGTGGAAAAAAGTTATGGCTGCAAAACCAAAAAGTTGATTTTTTGAGATCACTCTGTAAATAAGAGAGATAGGAAGTTGATTCGCGAAATATCTCGAGGTAATGAGATCATCTCCATGCCTCTGTTGTCGAAGTTGAGAAAAAAAAAATGTCACCATTTGAGAGCCTTTTGAATATTCCGAAATTTTGCACAGTGTCGGAAAACACCATGTAGAGATTTTATGTGAATACCCTTATGTTTCAATGAAGTACGAGATTATAGCTGAAGGACTGGGCTATCGAACAGTGTAAACCAAATTCAAATTGTTCTAAACTGAAAAAAGTTATTCACATTATAACATGGGCGACATTTTGGTGTGCGACGAAATTAGTGTTGAGTAGTTTAGATATCTGATGAAATGGGAATTATAGACTAAACAAAAATATTAGAGTAGCATAATGATTGACGATTATAAAATTATGGATATCTAAATAAATATTGACGTCAGCAACATGCTCCTGAATTATCTACACGTACTTAAGAAACAGCCTATAGGTGTTCCGGTTGAAAAATATGTCGCAGATGTCATAACTCAAGCGTGGACCACCCTGTATATTAGATTTTTCATTAAAAATGTTTCAAATCAGATATAAAAATGGTTCCTGCTTCAGAGGAATTCTAAGAAATGGATAGTATGGATGAAAATGAATTGATACACTACTAAAAAAAAATTGTTCTAAAATTGTTCTATCCGTCATTCGGTTGCCCCCTTACGAGCAACCCTCAGAAGTCTTCGAAAGACTTGTGCGAGCAAGGAATGACGGGGGCCTTACCTTTTAACGTGTGATCCCAAACACTTTCTTAGGCCATCAGAAAAAGTCTGCGTTCGTGGGTCTCGAACCCACGATCGATATCTCGACGTGAATCGATATTGAAGCATCGAAGCACTGAGGTACGCCGGCCTACTTTACAAGAGCATTGAATTTAATGGACGCACTGTATATAAACCATATGTTGAATACATATCTGAATTCAGCCTTCAATGGCGATTCCAAACATTTAGTAATATATAGGGTGTTCTATTTGAAAGAATATCTTGGTCGTCATAACTAAAACGTGGATCACCCTGTATATTTGATTTTTAAAAATTTGGCGAATTGAAAATAAGAATAAGTTTGTTTCAGATTGCTCAGAATTGGATAATTTGAATAGGAATCAATTTATCCAGTACTTCACGAAAGCACAATGGCATTCATTAAGTTGGCATCATATTATGGGAAAAACTTTTAACAATAATCTAATTTGAAATTCGACTTGGGTCTCAAGTTTTGCTTAAAAAAAATGGAAAATGGCCTACACGGTCGAAGTCACGTGATTTCACATGAAACATGTCAAAAGTTACATTTTTTCAAATGGATCGTAGCAAATAGGCTTGTTCCTTCAAACTTTGGGAAAGTTTACAAAGAAAAGTTGTTTATTTTCCAATTTTATAATGTGTCTCGAACACGAATTTGAACGTTCTATTGCAAATTTTGGTTCTTGAAATTTTTTCATTCCTCCTAATTGTAACTTTGACAAAACTGTCCTCAACTTTGGTTAGATACGTGAAGTAGTTTGATTATATTTTGATGACTTTGGCATCTCATTAGGACTGAAAAAATCAATTTAGATCAGTATTGCTTCTGAATGATAAGACGATACATCAACTTTGTATCAATTAAAAAAGAAATTTGAAGCGGGGATTATTATTTTCTGAAGAAAATTATAATTTTACAGACAATTAGTGATTGAATGTTAGTAGCATGATAAAGCTACTAGAATGAAATAATTGTGTCGGTTTTACTTTTTTTAATATTGCAGACATTTGTTATGAATTGAAATAATATCAAGAACTAAAAGTTTTTATATAACGTTCAAATTCGAAACACATGTGTGAAATTGGAATAGAAACAACTGTTTTCTGTAAACTATTTTGAAATTTAAACAAATAGACCTATTTTCAGCGATTGACTTGAAAAAATTCAACTTTTAACATGTATCCAAAGTCACGTGACCTCGACCGAGTAGTCCATTTACCATATTTTTTAAGCAAAAAACTCAACGCTCATGTCGAATTTCGAAATGAATTATTATTAGAAGTTGTTCCCATATGATGCCGACCCAGTGCCGGATAACTAAACGTATGAAAGCATATCATAAAATTACTAGTGTTTTTTGAGTATTTCGACAGTTAAAATCTCTGACAACAAAAAAGATTTTCGAAAAATCCACAATAATGGTCAGTGCTTTCAAAGATTATTTGGAAACCAGCCTAGGCGACGAATTGGTGCAGTTCGCTGAGCTGTTGAAAACGAATGTGGCTACTGTCATTCACAGCAACAAACCTCTAGAGGAGCCTCTGAAACTGCAATCCTATAAACTTTTTTGAAATAATTCCTTAGAATCGTGATTTCCAAACGTAGAAATTGCCTTGTGAATTTGGTTGACATTAAAACGTATTTAAAATGAAATAAGGAACAGGATGGGCCAAAAACGTCTGAATCATCTCACTTTGATGGATATACAGCATGATTTGCTTAAAGAAGTCGATATTGAAAGTGTCATCTGTCAATTTGCTCATATTAAATTCAGAAAAGTTTATTTGTAATAGTGTTGTTTCATTTTATTTCATACCCTAAACTTGAGAACCTAAAGCAAACCAAGGGTTCCTTGACATAATTTGCTACAGGCCCCACGCTGGCTTAATCTAGAGTTCCTAAATGTACTTGACACTGCTGTTTTGACGTTTTTTGTACATAAGATAATCAAACATAACCACAAACGATTTTGAAGCAAATCATATGTTTTGCCAGACAAGGACAAGGATATGTTTTTTGATTAGATAAAGGATCCTCGCATCTTCCTTCCTCCACAAGTCCTGGAAAGAGTACATCCATATATTTTTCTCTGTCTTTGATTTTTGTATTTCTATTTCTTCTCGAAATATTGAATGATAAGGCTGAAGGACCTCAATGGAGGTCGATATCAAGTTGGTATGTACATATATACCAACGAAATACATACACTAACCCTACGAAATAAGTCTCTTATATGTAGGTATATACAGCGTGTCCCATTTCAAACGGCCCCCCCTCTATATCTCAGCTATCAGTCGTGCGATCTCTACCAAATTTGTATCGGAATGAATAATCATCAATATGACCAGTTCTTCAAAGACAAACATCATTTTAGACAGTGCCACACACTTTTTGAAATGAATAGGGGTCAGTTTTTTATTAACTCATATTAGGCATTTTTTCTCAGGAAAACTGACCTCATAATATTGTTCTTCATGGTTTCAAACCCACCTATGTGGATTTTCATAAGATGCCTATGAAGGGTTTCAGAAAAACAGGCACATCTAAACAGCATTTTTGCGAACGTAATAATTATTTACTCGGAAACGGTGAGTTCAACATAAAAAAGTATAACTCGTTTTCCCTTCCAAATCATGATTTTGCACCTAGCGGAGCCATTGAACGTTCCAAAATTCGTAGTTGATTTGAAGTCACTATTTATTCGAGACTGAAATTGAAAAAAATGAAGCCAATCCTGTTAATTCTGAATTAGTTGATTTTTTGCATATGGTGGTTCGAAAGCATGAGGAACAATAATATGAGGTTGGATTTCCTGTAAAAAATGCCTAATATGATTTCATGAAAAATCGACCCCTTTTTAGTTCAATAAGAACGCAGGGCACAGAAATAATTTTTTCTTCTATTTGTTTCCTGAATTCCTCACTCTCTTCCACTCGCAATCCTTGGATTTTTGAATATTCGTGCTCTAAAAATTCGATACTCAAGTCTTTTTCTTTCAAAATATGTTCGAAATGAATTTCATTATCTGCAAGTTTTTCCTTTCTCTTTGGTTCTAAATTGTGATAAGGTTCTTTTCGATACTCGCTCAGTTTATGAATTGTGGATTTGGCTCTTTCTCTCAATATGATCCTATTCTTCAACATCAAATCTTCCCGTTCTGAAGTGTACCTGATAAAAATGCGTTGAAAATTGTACTATATTCTACCAGGAATTTTGAATACCTCGCAAATTTTGTGGCCTGAACCGATATTCCATGCCGGCCGCATCATATTGTGTTTCCATTTTTGTAGAATTACGTTATTCGATGGAAATTCGAATAGAGTGAATTGATTTCTCGTTTTCTCACAGTTTGAAACTGCACAAACTTGAATCTTTCTCCTAATTCTTCCAATTTGTCAAACCTTTGAAATTTATGTCATAGTTGGATACTGCACAAACTTGCATCTTTCTCCTAATTCTCTCAATTTGTCAAACCTCTGAAATTTATGTCATGTACGTCCGTGTAATGTCAGTTTCCGCTTTTTCCATCAATTTTTTTGTGGTTATGTCTGATTGTCAGTGCTTGTAATAGTGTCCGTACTCTAATATACAAAAAACGTCAAAACAGCAATTTCAAGTACATTTTGGAACTCTAGCTCAATCCAGCACTGTGCCGACCTTATAAATGACACTATACAGATAGAAAAATACTCACCTGTCCGCTCCGACATCAGCCTCCCCCTCTTCGCCCTCCACCCCTTCCTGGTGCGCCTTGCGCATCTTCGCCTGGTACCGTCTGGCCAGCTCGGCCACCAGCTCGTCCCGATTCGCCATATCGGGATTCAGGATGATCATGTTCTGCGGCAGGTCGAAATGGAACGAGACATTGTTCCAAAAAGTGAAGAACTCGTTCATGCCCAACAGTTGGCCGTAACGCTTTCGAGATACGCCCTCTTCAGAGAAATCCAGAGAGCTACGCGACTCCGAATTCGGTCTCAGTGCCAAAAAAGTCCTGTAAATAATAATAATCGAATTCATTGGTCCTTCGAGCCGGATCTATTCAAATTCCAACCTCTTTATTTCATGATTATACCATTTAACCAAACAAATACAATCCACTATCTATCAAGCATCGACCATTCTTTGATCTTTCCTGTGCCTTCGATAGTCTACAAATAACATTCATCCTAGAAAAACTTAATAGAAATGGAATGTGGGGAAAAATTCTCGATGTTCTAGAATCCTATTTGACTGAAAGGAAGGCGTATGTGCAAGTATATACTGAAGTTTCAGAACAATACTGTATGGATATTGGTGTTCCACAAGGGTCGGTGCTGGGACCACTACTATTCATACTTTTTGTCAATGATATGCCTGATCATGTATCAAATGGACATGTCACGATGTTTGCAGATGACTCTTCAGTAGTGGTCTCAGCAAATTCATAGTTTCGATGAACAATACTATGAAAAACTTTTGCATTTGAAAAACCGAATGGAAGATTTGAATAACATTTGAAAAAATTAAAATTATTTATAATAAATCTATAATGCGAGGGATTTTTCCAGATAAATGGAAACAGGCGCAGATAATACCAATACACAAAAGTGGCAATAAAAATATTGTGTCAAATTTCAGACCTATATCCATGTTATCAATACCTGGCAAACTTTTAGAAGCTATAATAACAAAAGAAATGTTTTTTGAGTTCAAAAATATTATTAGCGAGGATCAACATGGCTTTTTCCAGGGTAGGTCTGTAGTTACAAATCTAATGCCTTTCATTCAAAATATTGCAGAAAATTTGGACAATAGAAAACAAGTAGATGTCGTGTATACCGACTTTTCTAAAGCATTCGACAAAGTTCACCATCCCACACTGCTGGTAAAGTTGGGGAATATCGGTGTGCACGGCAATCTGCTCAGATGGATAGAATCCTATATTGAAAATAGAAGCCAATGCGTTAAATTGAATAACTATTCATCAAACTACGTACAGGTGACCTCCGGTGTACCACAGGGATCACACTTGGGGCCACTTCTGTTTACTCTCTTTATAAACGATATTGGCAACTGTTTTCAGTACTCAAATTTTTCCCAGTATGCCGATGACATGAAAATCTACAAAACAATCAGTAATATAAACGACTGCATCGACCTCCAATCTGATATTCACAGATTTCAAAACTTCTGCTCTGACCATAAATTACATCTAAACACCAGAAAGTGTCACAAAATATCATTTTCCAGGTTACGAACCAATACAGAATACGTATATACTATTAATAATGACACCCTCGAAAGTGTTGATCATATCCGTGATCTTGGAGTCATCATTGATTCCAAATTGAATTTTGGGCAGCTTATTGAACTAATTGCGAAAAAGTCTCTGAGAAATTTAGGCTTTATATTACGAATAACCAGAGGTTTCAAAACCCCATAATCTATTATCACTCCCTACAACTCACTGGTAAGAAGTCATCTTGAATTTGCGAGTTTGATATGGAACCCTTCGTATCAGAAGTACATTCAACGAATTGAGAGTATCCAAAAAAAATTGATTTTTCACTTAAATTATAGATTTAACAGGCACCTACACTTCCATGGTTACGAAGCTAGTCTTCGACATTATAAAATCCTGAAACTCAGCTCACGTAGGTCTTTAAGTTATTTAATTTTTCTCCACAAGCTGATTAACGCCAAGATAGATTGTAGTTCAATTTTGGGCCAATTATGTTTAAATTCCAAAATCAGAGTCACGAGAAATAATAACCTATTTTATCACAGGATATATCACACAAATGCATGTGGAAATTCACCTATCCGTCAACTAGAAAAAAATTATGATTTATATTTTTCTCATATTGATATATTTTGTTTATCTCTCACTACAGCTAGACGATTAGCGATTGAAGTATTCACTTGAATGAAATTGAATTTATTGTTTCTTTACAAAATTTTGCATTATATAACTATAAATTTATTATAGGATAGATTAGTGACTAGTTAAGAATATAATAGCGTGTAACTAAAATTTATTACTGAGCATTTCTGTAATTGGGATGTTAACTCATCCTGTTGAAGTGCCTTGAACATAAATAAATAAATAAATAAATAAATAAACAAACTGAATAATATTAGTATGTCTTGGATAACCTTTATTATTCATCCTAACTGAAATCAGCTGCAAATACTCTGGAAGAACTCGAAATTACAATGACCAATGTGACCAATCCTTTCGAAATATGGTGCGGTGCCAATAACTTATTACTGAATGTAGAAAAATCAGTTTACCTTCAATTTGAATGTACGAACAATAATCCTAGCTTACCAGAGATATAGGTTACTCATTCAGAGTCTACCGAATTTTTGGGACTATATCTTGACCAGAATATGACATGGGATAATCATATACAACATGATTTGAAAACACTCAATTATGGGTTTTTCGCAATACTAAAATTAAAAAAACTGTGGACAAAAAAGTGCTTGTTGATGTATTATTCACTTGTATACAGCCACATGTCATATAATGTCATCTTATGGGGAGACTGCACCAATTCCGAAAGGATATTTGTCAGTCAGAAACGAATTCTAAGACTCATGTTTCATATGGAATTTGGAGATAGTTGTAAATCCACCTTCATCCAGAAAGAGATATTGACATTTCCTTGTGTGTATATCTATAAAGTACTCATATACGTGAAAGAAAATTTTCATAAATTTAATCAGAACTCTTTTTATCATAATTACCCTACAAGAACTCTATACATGAGAACAGTATTTTAAAACTGGCAGTATCTGTGCTTTTTAGATCATGAAAAGCTGTTGAGGTGTAGAGTTTCGCACAGAACAAGAATCCGAGTTTTTGTGGAGCAGCTTTTGCGATGTATCGGACATGATTTTCCAATGAGTGCTGATGGTAATACCGAGCATAGATATACCTAGTGGTCTTGGTGGGAATGGTGGTACCAGACATTGTTATATCAGGCATACTGTTTCTAGAGAAAGTACAGGCTTGAGTTTTGGAGGCGTTGAATTCAACTAGGTTGTTGGTTCCCCAGGCTGTAATTTCTGCAAGATCTTCATTGACAGCGTTAGCCCGCCCTCGTCTTAAATTCTCAAGTTTCTTGGGAAGAAATGGGAAATCTAGAAGAGATAGCAAGCTATGGAGTACTACCTTCTGCAGAGCTGTGAATAGGGGACAAGTGGTTGCTCCAAATAGATCGTTGTTAAACCCGGTATTTTGTTGAAGGTGGTGGGAGACAGCTACGTCATAATGACGTCAACATTAACAATTTTTGAATTGACCTAACTGATCATGTCTATAAAAATAAGAAATAAAAAATTAGAGAAAATTGTCTGCAAACATGTTGTTGCTAGATGATTTGACCCCTGTTTCATTAGGAGGAAAATACATTACATACTTCATTTGATCAAAGAGAATCATCAAAGTATTGCCACATCACTGCTCTAAGAGGTATCAGGTGTGGCATCATTTCAGGAACCCTCATTTCTTTGGAACCTACTAATATATCATTACCTAGAATATCATATTTCTTCTATTGCATGTTTCGAATGAGGATAGATAGTTGGAGCCATATGTATAGATCCGAAACATATCGTTTAAGGCACTTGTCATCTGGAAACATGAAATTACCTTAATAAATCTTCACTTCCCTAATCTCTACCCTACAATTTTGTAACCTTTGTACATCTGCCTGTGTATCTCGTACTTCGACATCCATTCTATTGATTATTGAAATTTTAGTGTTTCCTTTAATATCCTCCATCTTTCACTTTGTAAACAAATCTTCAAATCAAAGTTTAACATTAACTACCTTCGCCATCGTTCGACTTGGTGGGCAGGTAAGGGAGGTGTATTCAAACGGAAATGACGTCACGGTCAAGCACAAAGATATGAGAATATCAGTTGTAACCATGACGGGTAATGTGAATTAAATATCTATATGAGGTAGGAACAATGTTGATGCCAAGATTGAGCCTTGTGGAACGCCGGAATTGATGGCAATGGTATCAGACGATACTCCGTCTACCATCACAATCACAAATAGAACACATAATCATCAAATACCAATACGAATCCGATAATGAGCGAGTGGACTGATAATGAATTAATGGCATTCAATGACTCCACTGTGTCGTTAGGAACCTGAATCAATTTTTGCAACACAACACTTCTCACGCTTTCTTCATGTAAATAATAAGTCTATGCGTTGTTCAACATCGTTGAATTTTAGAGCTCATTTCAAACGTAACGTCATGGCCGCCATTAGGCGATACGTCGAATAAATGGTGATATCAGTTTTTATACTTTTATACATTCGGTAGTTACAACGACTGACAATGCGCAAATGACAGTGACATGAAATTATATGAATTGATTCGAAATTGATAAATCAATAGAAATTCTGGCCAGAATCCTTTACAAATTTAGATTGATGATTTCAAAATTTATATTCCTGAAGAATTCAATTTACTGACGTCTTGAAATGGACCTGGCTCTCTTTCGGAACTGCGCCTCTCTCTTAATACTGGATATTCAAATTAAAGTGTCTCCTACCTGCTCTCAGATGTACTCAATGTTATTTTCAAATTTGAACCATCCCAACCTTCCATATACGATTAGTATTCCGATGTTAGAGTATACCGGGTGTAACAGGGTCATGGTACACCCCCTTTTTCTCCTTGAGTTCTGAAGACACTTGAATGAAATTTGGAATGATCCATCAACTTGATGAACGTCACTTTTTGACAAAAATAGGTTCCATTTTCCACTTCCGGTTTTACCGGAAACGGTAATAACTTTTGATTTTCAAATGGAACACCCTATATATCATTGCATTTTCGAATTCTGCATCATTTTCTGAATCCAATAATACTATATGAGTTACATTTCAAACTTCAATATTGGTTTTAAATTTATTTTTGATTTTCCATCTGAGTGTGCCGTGATCATTTTGATCGAGTCTGATATACTCATATTGTTAGGTATAATGGTAAAAAAAATTGAATCCTGTCAAAAATGTGAAATGTCTTAATTTATCACCAATTTAAGGTCATCAAAATGGTTTTGTGTACCTGATCCTGTGACACCCAGTATACGTAAAGGATCAGGATCATCTACATTTCCATCTATATTCCCATATATGGCTGGTACAATCAACCCAAGTTGATACAGTGGAAGATCTCGTGTTAATTTTACCAAAATCCCTTTTTCTTTCGTTCTCCCATTTTTTATTTATTAGTTTTCACACCCTTTTTTTGTCTCCCTTGACAACCCCTTCAATCTACCTTTTTGATACCGAGTGTTCATTCACAGAAACTAACGGACCATTGAACACTCAAGGTTGTCAAGTCACCAATTATAATCAAATTATCAAAAAGATGTTTGAGTCCTGTCGTTCAATGAAACATAATAGGAGGACATTATAGATCATTCTTGAATTTTTCGAGCAACCAGCATGTCCAAATATTTTTCATTCTCCATAACAAAATATACATACATAATGCTAGATGCTGAGAACTGACAAGATCACGCCCATAAGTCGTTCGCAGGGGTGTCACGTTCACGGATTTAAATGTCCTCTAGTGTGAATTGATATAATTATTATTTTCACAAATTTATTATGAGCAATAAGCCCCAAATCATAAGAGAACATTTTGAGACAATTGAATTTTTATTACTTAATAGGAATATTACCAATACTCAATTGCGAATTTTTGAATTATTGAATAACTAATATTTCTGAAGTTCATATTTCGACACATGGCAACTGTGCTATGGTCTGCCCCTACTTACGAAATCGTTGCATTAGTTTTTACTGACGGTAAATTTGTAGCCGTTTGAAAATTACCGTGGCATTATTGATGATTTTAGCACCTGAAAATCGAAAAAAAAAATTCTTAAAAAATATGAAATCGGAAGGTATTTGATGGGCGTCGCCCTATCTTCTCAGGTAAGGCTCGATATTTGAAGTTAAGCAGTGTCGAGCGCGGTTAGTACTTGGATGGGTGACCATTCGAGGAAACGCCGCGTAAGCCCGTACATCTGTAGCGGAATAGCATACCATAGCTACAGCTACCATATCAATGAGCACAAGATATGGTATGGATATGCCGTCATTCGGAGGGGACGTTGAGCCGGCGGTCCCGAGGCCATGGAACACCAGAGGATTCGGCAAAATTTCCGGTTGGGGGTATAGTGTGCTCACCAGCGTCGGTGATTAGCCTCAGTAGCAGAAAAAGGCCGACGTTAAAGAAACAAGAAAAAAAAAAGGTATTTGATGAATGATTCTATTTAAGAAACAAAAAAAAAATAGTCCACTCGCCTATTGTCGTAATATCGGTGAATTTGCCTACCTGTAACTCTCTACCCCTGTGGTGATGTTGTACGTAGTGAATTGGTAGAAAATATACAGCTGGGAGAGATGGTAAGGTCCCTGCCAGAGCTTGTCTCGCTTGCTGCTGAACTTGTTGTACGTTATGGTGTTGGATTTTCGCAATTCATCCACGGCCTTTCTGATTAAATGATCGGGGTACCTTTGGTACACTCTCAGTAACTGCAAGGCTTTGGCTAAAATATTGAAAAAAACATAACTAATCAAATTCTGCCAACCTCTCATTAGAACAAAGTGGAAATAAAAAAAATATTGAAAAGAACTTTTTTCTACAAACGTTATACGGAAATTAGGAACAATATCTACATTAAAATATGGTTTCAAGTTAATCCAGTATCCCGTATTTTAATGTAGATATTGTGCCTAATTTCCGAAAATGGAGGTTTATCGTACCTGTCCACAGGTAACTAGTCCTTCAGGTTGGGAAAGTAATAAGATATTGTCAAGAAGTACAAATGTCTATGAAATAACTTTCGTTCATTGCTAGATCTTTATTCATAAATTAATTTTTCCAAATTAAAACATCTTGTACAGCGTTTCGATCAGGTCAAAGCGGAGTTCATAGACTCTGGTTCCGGTAAAATTTGCATGAAACCGCTTAGCTTGCGATGCGGGCTAAGCTATACGCCCAGTATCGAGCATTGCCATTGCGGAAAATTGCAATGTTAGCATCGATTCCAAATATAAATAGATTCCGAATCGATAAGCCATTCATTTTTACTGATTATTCATTATTATTGATTTACTCATTACTGGTTACTGATAACTAATTCATTACTATTTGATTATTACTAATTATAATGCATTTTGATCACATTTTACTTTACTCCGTAAGTGAGTTACTAATTCACGAGTTGCTGCCAAAATGTGTACCGTCCTCCCGACTTTGATCCTGCTGGTCAACCCCATGTTAGATGTCATAATGTAAGTACTGTTTTTCCATGTTCTATCTGAATTGTTGTTTTGTGTTGTGTTCCGGTTGATAAATTACTATGGTTTGTCTCTGCTACTTTGCCATGTGACAAGCATTTATTCACGACTTTCCCATTAAATCAATAAATGTTAATTTTATACGAAAACTATCTTGACTCTTCATTTGGGGATGAATATGGCTGGGTGGTAAAATGATCAAAATCCTCTCATCAAGCCAAGCGAGTAGCCAAGTTGCGATCCATAGGAGGGCAACATCTGAGTTGCGACATGTGGTGGACACGCCGTTTGCCAAATAATCTATCAGAACCATCTGAGTTGCGACAATATATAAAAGTTAAGCAAGCCAACGCTAGTTTAGTTCATTGTACCAGTATATCACCACCAGCTACTGTGTTAGCGAAACATGTCGTGTGTTTGAGAATTTTGTGGAAAACTTATCGTATCGTGAAGTTTTTACAAATATATTTATGTATTCACCATGTTGCCTGCTATAAACAAAAGTTATTTCTTGGGAATAATAAAGTTGATTGATTGATTGATTTAGTCAGTCTGACTGCCAGTGGCATCGTTAAGGGGTGTTGATGTGTGATTCGTCAAATAAAACATGGGTAGCAATGGAACTTTTCGAAATATTAATCGAAAAAATGAAAGATGCAATTTTCTAGAAAAAGCACCGAGTGTTGAAACTCGTAAAGATACAGTATTTTCGATAAAAACCGAATAACCGAATTCAACTCCAAAATTTGATGTAGATGTCCGAGAATGTCGGATAGTCCTTTCAAGACATCTCTTCAGATTACTCTATAACCATGATAGATATCATTCTGTAATTGTGGGACAATGCCAATCACATAACAGACTAAATTTTGCCACCACGATACACCACGATACAGGGCGACATAACTTTTTTTTATTAATATTCTCAACTTCAACACCCTGTGGGATATAGCTTTTTTCGATATTTGTTAATGGGTAGACATCAACAGTGGAAAGTTCAGAACCGTGTTTGGCACCAAAGACTTCTCCACAAACTTCCATCATATGGCTCACCACAACAACAACAAAACAAAAAAATGAAGCCATTGAAAAAATATAGCGGTCGAAATAAGATTTGGGGTAAGACCCCTATTTCCACCCAAAATTGATGCTCATGGATCGTGGAAAACGAAGCGACGTTGCCACAGTACATTTAAATTTATACAAACCAAGAAATTTTCTGAACCTGATTTCATTATGTAAACTTAAAATACATTGCCTTTATTCATTTTGCCAGGAATAAATTGAAAATATCAAATTTAGTTTTCAATGAAGTCAATACAGTCCATAATTATGGGACTAGACAATTGAATTACTTGATAGCAAATACATTCAAGTCAAACATTGGCAAACAATCTGTTTCTCACAATGGAATAATTTTATACAATTCATTACCGAATGAGTTGAAAAATATACATGATGCAAACAGGTTTAAAATCAATCTTAAAAAATACTTGCTCAGGACAATTTGAATGAAAAATATGTGGCATGATTTGATTACTTAGGAATGAAATGTAACTTTTATCTTAAGAAACAATATTGATTCGTTTCCACTGAGTGGAATTCATTAGTTAACCCTTTATTATTATTTTTTTATATGTATTTATGTATCCCTATCATAAACAGAAATGTTTCTTGGGGTAATAAAGACAATCAATCAATCAATCAATCAATTTATCCTTTATTTGAAGACTAAGGAGAAACCACATATTTTGGGACTTTTTGTTAGACTGAATCAGATTGCTGTGTTCATGTTGAATGATTATTCAATAATACTATCATTTCGTAGATTGGAGGAGCGAAATTCCCGAAAAATTTCGAGAAAAATTATAGCAGATCTAAAACGATTAAAATTAAGTTCATTACATCAGCTACAGAAACCAAATGTGGGTCATATTATCAATTTGAATTGAAATTGTATTAACTCATATGAATATGTTACATAACCCCCAATAATTATTTGGATATCTTTTTTCCCTCTTTGAATGTTTTGATTGTTATTCGTCTCCATCATGAACAAACGTGATACATGAAATGTATAATTATTGGAGATCAACTCATATGGATTCAAATTTGATCGAAAATTTTCGATGTCACCTTCCCAATTTTGAGCAGTTTACCTAAGGATACAGTGAAAATCGAAACTTACTTGCATTATTTCCGCACACAACGGAACTGTGTATAACCGATTTCAATACATCCACCTTGATCTCATCTTCACTCGTCGCATCTTTGAACTTGAGAGACGATTTTTCTTGTGGGACCATAACTTGCTCGGTGTATTTCAAATTATTTTCCGACAAATGATCGATATCGATCACATTTCCTGGAAAACAAAAACCAAGTGAAGCACGTAACAAGTCCGAAAAATAATATTCCTCTAGACCAACTGTCGGCAACCTTTTAGCAGGCAAGGGCCATATAGTGGCAAATAGAAGGCCCGCACTTGATCATAATTCTGATCAAAGGTACTTGTGTAATTAAAAAATAAGGAAAAATTTTATTCGAAATTTATTACACATGTTAACAAGAACCTCAAGTTAGAACTGTTAGGTATTCTACAAAAATTAGTGTGACGTTTGAGACTGTATTTGAGTGGCTATTTGTTGTATGTTAGTTTCCTGGTTTTTTTCTTATTAAACCATTTTAGCATACATATTAATAAATACATCTAGCATTTTGTTCCTAATCAGCAACATGCTGGTGACGGAACATTATAATTGACATATGATTCAATAACAATTTCTGTAGTTACCATAATATACATTAGTATACATTCATATACTTATACACAAACAACAACAATTACAATCTTAAGTATATCATAGTACAGTAGTTTGTTGATTTATGTGCTGAATCAAGTTTATTTTAAATGAAGAATAGCTATCTATATTTTTCACAGGATTTGGCAAAGAGTTGAAAGTTTCTAGACATTTGTATATAGGATTATTCAGTACCAAGTTTGTTCTTACATTTGATAGGTAAAAATTATTTTGATTTCTAGTCTCATATGTGTGAGTTTCGTTAACTAAGTTGAATTTAGTATTACATTTTTGTTGATTTTTTTGTATTTTGTAAGTGTATTTGCGTTGTTCTATTTGTAATATTTGTTCCAAGGGCATTATTCCTGTTTCTTTATATATTTTCTCTGTATGTGTTCTGTAGCTATATCCAAATAAAAATTTCACTACCTTATTTTGAAGAGTCTGTATTTTCTTAAATTGTGTTGGTCGACATATACCCCAGGTTGCTATGACATAGCGAAAAACTGACAGAAAGTATGCATTGTAAATCATAAGCCTATTTTGAGTATTCAGATAGCTACCACATCTATAGAAAGCACCAATCATAGGGACTACCTTTTTAGAAATATGATTTGAGTGTTCCTGCTAGTTCAGCTTATTATCTATAACCAGTCCTAGATATTTGGTGTATTCGACTATATTTATTTTTTGGGAACCAATTTTTATTGATAAATCACGGGTTTCCATATTTTTGTTTTTGAACGACATAAAAATAGTTTTATTAATATTTATTTCAAGTTTATTACTTAGAAGCCACTCGGCATACAGGTTTAAATCATTATTCACCAACTGTTCCAATTCAGTTAGGTTATTTCCTTCATAGACAAGAACAGTGTCGTCTGCAAATATATAGTAGCGAGCTTACAATTTGGCTTTTTGAAGGTTTAGAGAATACAACATAGGCCCTAAGACTGACCTTGTGGGACTCCACAGGTAACATTTTTTAGTGCACTGTTGACTTTATCTAGTGACACATACTGTTTTCGGTCTCGTAAATATGTTTCTATAAGATCTGCACATTTACCTCTTATTCCCAGTAAGTTGAGCTTATTTATTAACATTTCGTGGTCAACTACATCAAATGCCTTTTGTAAGTCGACAAATATCGTTATGACATATTTTTTGTTATCTAGATTGGTTATAACGTGGTTCAAAAAGTCCATTGTGTCGCTCTGTGTGTTTGATTGCTTTTGGAAGCCATACTGGAATCTGTCTAGCTCAACATATTTAGTAAGAAAACAATTGAACCTTTTCTGGATGATAATTTCTAAGAGTTTCGAGAATGCACATACTACAGTTATGGGACGATAGTTTTCTACTTTATTTTTTGATCCTGCCTCAAAAATAGGAGTGATTTTACCAATTTTCAAAACATTAGGGAAGATTCCAGTTGTGAACATTTTGTTGACGAGTTTGACTAAGATGGGTATAATAAGTTCTTGAACTAAAAGTAGGTTTTTTACAGTTATATTATCTTGACCAGGAGCAGCATTTATATTCATTTCATTTAGAGCTTCATTTATTTCATTATCGTTCGTAGTTTCAATCCGTAGAATAGCTCTCAAATGTCCATCTGTGAGACGAGAAGCATATTTATTTTTTCTGTAATTAAGAATCGAAAAAGTTTGTCCGCATTCTGGCAGATTAACTCATATTTCCAAATTTCTTTTTTTGATCTGGGCGGGTACTTATTTATGCACTTAGGAAGGTGAAGACTTGTATTTATAAAAGCATACCCATAGAGGTCAGGCTAGGAAATATAATATACGTAAATATAGTCTACAATTATTTTTCTCTTCCTAAGCCAAAGTGCCGAATTAGTGTGCCATGATAGCGGGTTGAGGGCGTTTGTACAACTACCATTTTTCTTCATTAGTTTTTTTCCATGCAACTTTCGTTTTTCTTATAGGCGTCATAGGTATTTGTTTTATACAGCATTGTATACAGTTGAAAATTCCCTTCCTAGCCATGCATAACATACCGACATTATCACCCGAAAAAGCGCCAAAAAAACAGTAAAAACCATTTTTTTGTTGGTTATCGATGCTTACAATTCAACTGCCCTACGGAAGGCATTGCCGAACGTGTAGAGTGGATACGATGCGAAGTGGCGCTGTATATTGTTGTCAACAATTCTCACTTATAATTACACGAGATCTTTATTTTTGTCGAAGTAAACTTGACATGTATCAATAAGAATTTTGTTTCCTGACAATTTGACGAAAAAAACTGCCCCTGAAAAGATAAAGAGTCCGTAGGACGAGTAATTTTTTCTGGCAGTTTTTTAAGTTGAATTACCTAATGGCAACAAAATTCGAATTATAAATGCCAAGTTTACTTCGACTAAAAAGAAAGCTAGAGTATAATTCGGTAAGACAATTTAATTCATAGAACATTTTGTTTATGGTTCGTTGTCATGCTTTCAGAAGTAAGGTTCAGTTATTGTCGCTGGAAATGTTAGGGCAAACTTTTTTCGCTGTCATAATGACAAAATCACGCGACTTTTCATACATGAATTAAATTGTCAATAAAAAATCATCATTTATTAATGTTTGGCATTTTGTTAATTCAACTAATAATTCACAAAAACTGGAGATGATATGATCATCGAACATTTAGTTGGTTCGGGGGTCAACCTTCCCCCCCCCTGCGTACTTTTGTCCTAAGGGTGTATAGTATGCATCTACCATACATTGATTTTCGCCATTGATTTTATTAATTGGAATCCAATTTTTGTTAACAATATTATTTGATGCCGTTCGGCGACAGTTTTTTTATGATTTATAGTATGATAGATGTCATAATGAATCCCTCGAATAAAATTGTTGTACCTGATTCATGTAAATGGCAAAGAAAAAATCAATTCATTGTCATAACAAATTTTCGATAATACGGAAAGAACGGAGAATGGATTTTTCCTTCATCATTTAGCGGAGTAAAGGCTGTAGCACCGGAGCTTGCAGCTGCAAGAAAGCAGGTCTTCGAATTCGCTGCTCAGCAATGCGCAAGCACTGCACAGGCCACTCTTATGAAAATGCTCCCACAACTGATTTGAATGAGGGGGCCTCACTAGACATATTAGATGACGAATAGGACGACGGCAACGTCTTCATTGACAGCCAACGGCTAAGAAATCTCGACAGGAAATATAAGGAGTACAAATGGGTACGTATAATATTGTCGCTATTTCTGAAAAACGTCTTATTTCACCTAGTCTGGCATGATTTGTAGTGGAGGAGGAGGAAGGCTATCGATCTCAAACGTAACTAATATCAATACCAACTTGGTGTTTATATGGTTCATCAGAGAAGAACATTAGGGTGGGTGTTCAAGATTAGTGATTCCAACCAGATACCACAATTACAAAAACCTTTCATCATATTTCGGATATGACAGAAAAAATGAGGTAGAGTTCTGCAATATTTGTCATATTTGAGCGAACTTGGAAAAATTACCTTTTTTTCGAAGCGCCATATCTCGATGATGAATTGACCTACCCAAATGTTCAAAAATCGTTATTGTAGTAAATTCAACGCTCTACAAAAAAGTATGGAAGTATTTTTGACGTAAGCCGGAAGAAAAAAGTTATTGAGGAAAAACCGGAGTTCGAAAATTTTGCAGTTTGCATCCCCCTCCTCTATTCACACAGGGTCCTCGGGGTTCAAAACATGTGAAAACATCAATTAAGCTTTCTTGATAAACATCCCAGAGTTTCATCAACTTCCGACCTTTTTCCACGTAACCCCACTTTTTCCAATAATAATCAAGGATTCAATGAACATTGAATTGATTACCTTGTAAAACTGCAAAAACTTCATCTTGATGCCGGAGTACGTATGACATCAGGATGACGAACACGTTCGTGATTTGTGTTTCATTGAACCGCATCGACTCTTGTCCATCGTTGCCTTTCCAAATTTTATCGACCAATATCGAGTAATACTCGAAAATAGGTCGCACTTGCAGTAGATTCTGGTACAATTCGGAAAACGATATGGAACTCTCTTTATGCAAGGTTTTCAGTCGCCTCTGAACAGCCCTGGAAAAATCGATGGATTCTCCAGATTGAATATCAATATACAGGGTGACATTTCGAAAACTTCCCACCCTCAATATCAAAATCAATATATGAGAAATCGAAAAAATAGCTAGAATTTATTTTCAAGGGGCACTTGAAATGATTAGTTTTATCTAGAGTCCCTGTATGTATAATTCCCTGTATATATTTGTCAGTTTTGTTGTAATAAGAGTACGGACACTATGACAAGCAGTGACGGAAGGCATAACAACAAATTCTCAAAATGACTTTTGAACAAAGAAATGGATATGCTTCTCCATGCACTTTGGATCTTCTATCCTCTACTGCCGCGGTGAAGGGTACATCCATATATCTTTCTCTGTCTTTAATTTCATAAAGAAGTGGCGTCTCATCTCACTGGCGAAAAGGGGTCATAGTTTGTAAATCAATTTGTTGAAAGTATTTCTCGATATACTTCACTAACAAAGGGTATATGTACTTGAATTTATTTGATTTTAGGATGCACTAGTTTTTCAATAGATAGAGTCAGGATTTAGTAGCCAGTTCTGATGGACAGAATGTAAATGAATGGGAAGAACAATTCAACCAATTAACAAACTTATATTTGTTCTCATAACATACTAAGACACTTCATAGGGCATGAACGATCAGAAAATTCGACAAATACAAGTATAATGATTATAATTCAAGAATAGTATATCCTATGACAAGAATACAAAATTTCAAATAATGGTAGAGTAAAGTGGGGTAATATGGTGGGTGGTAAACTGGGCTGGTGGCCGTGAGCGTAGAGTCGCTGGCTGTTGCCCAGGCGGTCCGGGTTCGATCCCCGGCGCGAGCACTGAATTAATTTTCGGTAGTTTCGTTGGGCGGGAGGAGATAGGTGGCCAACCCAACATTCTTGGTACCTAGATATCAATCCTTTGGACTGTCCACGGTTACCAGCCGAGTAGTGCTTCGGATGACACTTAAAAAGCTAAGGTCCCCGTCTTCTTAACTCACACAAGTCTCTGACTTTCGAGGGTTGCTTTGCAACTAAGCTGGCGGTTAAAAAACACTTTTTAAATATGGCAACATAAAATTTAAATGCTCACAATCTGATAACCATCGCGCCTAGCTGAAAGACGATGGCTGCACGTTAGAGCTTACACAATATTTTTTTGTGTCCAGAGTCGCTCGTTGCCATTTTTCCACACAGCAAAAGATTACAAGTAAAAATGCATAGTAATATCATATTGCCATATTACCCCATACCAAGGGTAATATGGCATCACAGGTTGGGTATACGGCAACATGCTATTCTCGTAAGAAATAAACTATTTTATGAAATTGAAAAACAAACAAGCTTTTACAACATAACAGTATAAATTATCAAATTCTATGTCTCAGAGATATAGAGGTACTTGGTACTTGATCTGGAACACAATCTGCACAATGAATCATATTCGATGGTGTACATATCTCGTGAACCCATGGTCACAATTTACAAATTGCGACCAATAACATTTTGGACCTTTTTTATCATCCACGTGGCATTGTGCTCAATATTCCGATTCATCATATTGCAATCTTGTTTCAGAATCTCTTTGCTTCAAGCTATTTTTCAAATGTTCGTCCTTTTCTTTGATTTTTTTCTGTATCTTTCATCATTAACTATTAATAAATTTTGAATTTCGGCATATCTTCTCTCTAAATCTTCGATAATTTCTTGTTTGTGATCCAAAATATATTCAATTTCATCTTGGTATTCTACTTGAATTTTTCCTCGTAAAAATTGTCCTGAATTCGATAAGGAATGTCTTCGATAATCCTTCTGATGATGGAATGAAGGCTCCGCATTTTCTTTCAATTTGATGGTATGTTCCACCTATAATGTTGAAATCGAAATTATAAATGATATTATTCCTTCGAATATGCATCATATTCAATCGAAAAATTCAAATATTGAGTACTTACTTCGCAAATCTTGCTACCTGAATTCAATTTCCATAGTGGCCGCTTCATATTTTCTTTTCACTTCTGTAACTGTTGTTGGTTAGAATGGGGGAAATGGAATAAATGAAAGGACTCGCTTCCATTTTTTCAATTCTCCACTACACAATTAGACATTTTAATTTTTGAAAACCTGAATTTTCAAATAATTTAATGTCATGTACGTTCATGAACTGTCAGTGCCCGCCAAATTGTTCATGTCATTTCAAATTTTTTAGGGTTATGCCTTCTGTCACTGCTTGTCATAGGGTCCGTACTCTTATTACAGCAAAAGTGTCAAATACATACAGGGACTCTAGTTTTATCTAGAGTCCCTGTATATACCTTAGACAAGAGTCCGGACACAGCTATAGATCTGTCCTTTTCTGTTTTCCAAAAATGCATTGATGATTGAATAAAGGAATAAGACATATATATCGAGCTCTGTCTTTTCAATTCCCCTAGTATCAATGATTGTCAGAAACAATTTTAAGGGTTAGATTATTTGTCAAACCGTTCATAGCCGTAGGTAGAAGTGAGAAATAGGGCTATTTTAACTAGAATAACTATTAGATTTTCAAATAATGAACAACAGGGTGTTCAACTTTCGAATCGATAATTTTCATAATAAATTCCTGAGATATGGCTATTGCAAATTTTCGTCATCAGATATTTCTTCACTTCTTTAGATATAAGAAAGATAATTTGAGTGTTCTACGTGGTATCACATATAGCCAAGAAAATATAGTTGTTTTCTGTTGGGATATAAAAAAATTGAAGATATCTAATTGTTTCAATATAATTTTAATTGTGTCGGTTTCCCACCTCTTCCTGCAGTCTACATTCACCTGAATATTTTGAATTTGATCTGAATTAAAAACACCGTGGACTGATGACATAGCACATTGCAATTTCTCTAAATCTTCTAGTTTTGATTTTAAACTTTCAATTTCTTTCCGCATCATCTCATTCTCATTTTCTTTCTCTGCGATCGTATCATTCAGTAATTCCCAATACGATGACGACGGAACTCTTTTTTTGAACGCCTCTATTTTATAAATTGACGGCACAGCAGACTCTTTCAATTTGAAATCCATCAGCTTGAAAGAATCTCTATCAAATGTGCCTAAAATTCATCTTTTTTGTACAGTTTTTACAAGTAAATTCGAACATTCACCATATCGCGGATTTCACGTTTCATTGCATTCTTCCATGACATTATCTTTAAAGGATCATTCGGAAAATTGAATAACTTGAATCCCTTTTCTAATGAATTATCGCAATAATGTTCGCAGCAGGACATTGAAATAATTTAAAATGCTAAATTTTGGCGGTCAAAAAGTTTGAAAGTGACAGTGACAGAAATTCGAAATAATTAAAAAAGCGGGCGGAACGACTATGGTGTTTCGTCACATTGTCAGGTGGACAAACCAAATGAAACAAAACATTAAAAACCCCAACAGCTGTCAGTTTTGTGTCCGGACTCTTGTCTAAGGTATATACAGGGACTCTAGTTTTATCCTCTTGGTTCAACCCCTTAGGAGGGGTAGATGTCACCCCTAGAACCTCATCTGAAGAGGGAGGTCAAGATGCACATTATTTTGAAATACGTTCAAGTCTCTTTTCAACTATACCCTAATTTTTCATTTTTTAATAAGCAGTTCCCGAAAAATGCCGTTTTAAACTTACAGAAGTAATTAGAACATGCCTGCACTGATATCCCGACTAATATGCATGGTTTTCAGGTTGGTATTATTGTATTGACCCTTTCAGTCTAAATGGTAGGAAGATTTTGAATGCATCTCAGTGCAGGCATGTTCTAATTACTTCTGTAAGTTTAGAACGGCATTTTTCGAAAACTGCTCATCAAAAAATCATAAACTAGGGTACTGTTAGAAAGAAAATTGAACGCCCTTTAAAATAATGTGCATCTTGAAGCCTCTTATACAGGGTGTTTCATGAGAAGACTCACATAGCTAAATGCTTAATAGGAGAAATCAAGACGAGTTGATGTATATATATGAAAACATTTTTGACCCCCCCATAACGAAGATTATGTGAAATTGCTATATAACTTTGATGGTCGATATTACAGAAATTATTCGTCGTGATCTGCTGAAATTTGGCAGCGACGTATCTCTACTGAAACAATTCAAGATAACTTATTATGAAAAAAAAAATCCAGGTCCGTACTTGGGAAAATTTTATGTTTCATTGTTATGTCAAAAAAGTTCACTTTGTGACAATCCTAAGCGCCGAACGCGGTTGGATAAATGAAATCACGAAGGGTGGGAATAGTAACAGATATTTGTACATCTGCGGGTGAGTGCTCAGATTAAATTATAATCAGGCACCGCGATTCATTCATAAATAATTAAAACGTATAGGTCAACGTTCCTGAACGCCAAACACGGATAAATGAATGAAACGGCGAATGGTGGGGATAACTCTGCGGAATCATCGTCAGGAAATTGATATATTTAATAGATACGATATAATAGGAAATATCGGGGAGTTCAGTCAATCGGGCTACAAGCAAACTACTTTATTGCTATGCCAAGCTTTCGAAAATTTTTATTTTCTTCTTCAAGGCTGAAACAATATATCGTATATGGAACATTTTGTCACAAGTCAATTCAAGAAAATCGAGAACTTACTCGCAATGCGAGTTAAAAGGTATAAATTGGAATAATAATGAGTTTTAAAAAATATAAATGATGTAGACATAAAAATTGATAGGATAGTGACAAGAGTGATATAATTTATATACCGGAAGAAATGGAATTATAAAATTAGATTGTTGTTGAATATCTTATGAGGTACAGTCATTTTGAATATCATCATGAACAAATGATAATAAATAAGAAAATATCTGACTTTGATAGATACATTCAATATATCTGATAAATCAGGATTTCTATGAATGTGTGTATATGAATTAATAAACTAGCTCTCACGTGTTGTAATGATAATGCTAAATAGTTAACTATTTTTCAAAGTTTAAAAGTAGACGAATAATAATCGATGTAAGAAATGTCATTGGTCGTTTAGTGATTAGTTTTGGGTGTTTCGGTTACTCTTTTGATATTATGAATCTGAAGCAAACTATTTTGTGAATGAATATGGTTTGGCATTGTCAAATCTGTAAAGAAAAGTTACAAATATCCTAACCTGATATTTCACGGGTACGTAGGGTGTTGTTTGGTGGCTTGCTTTGGTTGATGAAACGCGTGTTGATAATATAGAAAATATCAAATGACCTCACTGAAGCATTGCGAAATATAATTGTATTATGCTAGAACACGTGAGAGTTGATTTATTAATGCACATACACACATTTTTATGAATCCCGATACATTTGATGTACAAAATACTAGAAGACCTCGCAAACGTTGTTTTGCTATACAGTGTGTCCCACTTACCATGCTCACCATGGGTATCTTTTTAACGGTGAGAGATGCGAGGTCGGTTGAATGACACCAAATGTGGAGTTTGTCAAGGCCAACTATAATGTGAAAAAATATTTTGATAAAATCTATTCGTTTTTGTTTTATACGTAAAAAACAGATTTTGATCATTTTCATGCCTCCTCCATAACTTCTTTATTTATGAAAATATTCAAATAGAAATTTCACATTCTCTTGGCAGTTTTTCAAAGTGATTTCGAAAAAAATATGAAATTTATACCAATTCTTCTAGAATTTGAGATATCAGCACCAACTTTAGTTTTTCAAATGTAGGTCATAGCTCACTATGACTTAGTTACAAATAACTTTTTTTTCTCTTACAGATGATATGTCGCAGTAATATGTGTTGATAACAACGGAGTTATCGTCATTTATACAAAAACAAAAAATTATTTGGAAGCCACCATCCTGAATTTATAAATTTTAACAAAAAAGTCATGATCTCTGACCTCAAAAACCCCTACTCATCAATATTGAATGGAATCGGACCAAATCTTGTCCGCCATCTTGGAGCAGCCATTTTTTTTAATTTCAACAAAAATTCCATGATGTATTGTCACCGAAATTATGAATACCTGCCAAATTTCAAGTTGATCGGAGTTATGTAATTTTTGTTCAAATAAAAAAAAATTGCTGCTCCAAGATGGCGGACAAGATTTGGTCCGATCCCATTTAAAATTGGTAAGTGGGGGTTTTTGAGGTCGGAGATCACGATTTTTTTGTTAAAATTTATAAATTCAGGATGGCGGCTTCCAAATAATTTTTTGTTTTTGTATAAATGACGATAACTCCGTTGTTATCAACACAAAACTATTACTGCAACATATCATCTGTAAGAGAAAAAAAAGTTATTTGTAACTAAGTCATAGTGAGCTATGACTTACATTCGAAAAACTAAAGTTGGTGCTGATATCTCAAACTCTAGAAGAGTTGGTATAAATTTCATATTTTTTTCGAAATCACTTTGAAAAACTGCCATGAGAATGTGAAATTCCTATTTGAATATTTTCATAAATAAAGAAGTTATGGAGGAGACATGAAAATGACCGAAATCTGTTTTTTGCGTATAAAACAAAAACGAATAGATTTTATCAATATATTTTTCCACATTATAGTTGGCCTTGACAAACTCTACATTTGGTGTCATTCAACCGACCTCGTATCTCTAATTGTTAAAAAGATACCCATGGTGAGCATGGTAAGTGGGACACACTGTATACATTATTTCTATAATATATTTTATCAGTCCAATATTCATCAACATACTATTATTATTATTTTATTTTCAACTTCATTTTGGTTTCGCTATCTATAAAAGCGTGTTTCATCAGTTTTTCGAACTACCATTTATTTCAACTTCTTTTAAGTTCACTTGAATTTCCCAATTTTAATAGAAGAATCATAATATCCGACTCCTAAAACCCCAGATGAAAAATTTTGAATAGAATCGGAACATGAATGCAAAACTCGTCCGCAATATTGGATCTACCATCTTGAATTCTATAATTTTAACGAAATAATCATAACTTTGGATCCCGGGAACGCCCACTTACAAATTTTGAATAGAATCGGTATATAATTAAAAAACTCGTCCGGTATATTGGTTCCACCGTCTTGAATTTCCGAATCCCACCCTTTCCAAATTATGACAAAGAATCATAATCTCCGACCCCCAACACCCAGATAACAATTCTGAAGAGAGTTGGATCATAATTATAATACTCGTCCGCCATATTGGGTCCGCCATCTTGAATTTCCTAATTTTGACGAAAGAATCATAATCTGCGGCCCCGAGAACCAGCAGATACCAAATTTGAATAAAATCTAATCCTAATTACAAAATCCAACATTTTGGATACGCCATCTTGGATTCCTTAATTTTGACGAAGGAATCATAATCCCCGATCACGAAAATCCCCAAATACCAATTTTGAATAGAAACGGACCATAAATATAAAACTCGCCCGATATATTAGATCCGTCATCTTGAATTTTCTGCTGGTACCGGGATAACAAGTATGCTATAACCTTCTCCCGGTTCTAGCCTCCCCACCAATTTTCAGCCAAATCGATCCAGTAGTTCTGGAGCCTAATCAATACATACAAACCATACAAACAAACAAACAAACAAACAAACAAACAAACAAACAAACAAACAAACAAACAAACAAACAAACAAACAAACAAACAAACAAACAAACAAACAAACAAACAAACAAACAAACAAACAAACAAACAAACAAACAAACAAACAAACAAACAAACAAACAAACAAACAAACAAACAAACAAACAAACAAACAAACAAACAAACAAACAAACAAACAAACAAACAAACAAACAAACAAACAAACAAACAAACAAACAAACAAACAAACAAACAAACAAACAAACAAACAAACAAACAAACAAACAAACAAACAAACAAACAAACAAACAAACAAACAAACAAACAAACAAACAAACAAACAAACAAACAAACAAACAAACAAACAAACAAACAAACAAACAAACAAACAAACAAACAAACAAACAAACAAACAAACAAACAAACAAACAAACAAACAAACAAACAAACAAACAAACAAACAAACAAACAAACAAACAAACAAACAAACAAACAAACAAACAAACAAACAAACAAACAAACAAACAAACAAACAAACAAACAAACAAACAAACAAACAAACAAACAAACAAACAAACAAACAAACAAACAAACAAACAAACAAACAAACAAACAAACAAACAAACAAACAAACAAACAAACAAACAAACAAACAAACAAACAAACAAACAAACAAACAAACAAACAAACAAACAAACAAACAAACAAACAAACAAACAAACAAACAAACAAACAAACAAACAAACAAACAAACAAACAAACAAACAAACAAACAAACAAACAAACAAACAAACAAACAAACAAACAAACAAACAAACAAACAAACAAACAAACAAACAAACAAACAAACAAACAAACAAACAAACAAACAAACAAACAAACAAACAAACAAACAAACAAACAAACAAACAAACAAACAAACAAACAAACAAACAAACAAACAAACAAACAAACAAACAAACAAACAAACAAACAAACAAACAAACAAACAAACAAACAAACAAACAAACAAACAAACAAACAAACAAACAAACAAACAAACAAACAAACAAACAAACAAACAAACAAACAAACAAACAAACAAACAAACAAACAAACAAACAAACAAACAAACAAACAAATCTTACCTCTTCATAATATTAGTATAGATATTTATGAAGAATATCAATTTTCTGGCAATAATTCCTTAGTATTATCCCCACTATTCGCGATTTCATTCATTTATCCGTGTTTGGCGTTCAGGATTGACGGCGGATACTTTTTATGATTCATGAATGATTGCAACGATATTATTATATCGACTCATCAAAAAAATCTCAATTTTTCTCACCTAGACGTCTTCCCTTTGCTCACCGGACACACCCTATGTAGAACATCTCGGACTACACAGTAAGGCACGATTTGCTTCTTGTACTTGTCGTTCTGCAAAAACAAATCGGCAATCTTGCACAACACCAACGCCTTGTCTTCCTCAGCAGTCCATCTCACTCTCCGGTTAGTGCCGATTTTCTTCAAAATCATCTTGTCGATGCTATGGAAATACTCAATTAAATGAAGAAATTTCGTATTTCGTAGGAAATTTTATTGTTATATGTAATATACCACAGTTACGACAGCTTGTTGCCTATTAATTTCACGAATGACATTGTTTATCAAAACTTTCGAGCCGTAGGCGAGAAGTTTTGGAACAATGTCATAAGCGAGATCAAAGCAGCAAGCTAAAGTATGTCAATCTACGGATATTTTTAGGAAAAATAGAATGACGAGTTGTATTCGTGTGACTATTTCATGATTGAGACAATAAACGAGCACCTAGCGAGAGTTGCACACACTGCATCCATCATTCTGGTTTCCAATACAATTGACGTTTTGAATGTCAAAAATATTATCGCCGAAAAACGAGGTTGTTGGTCTCGTGTGGGTCAATTAGGCTTCTGTATTGTTAGATTAAGTCCGATAATTTTTAGTAAACAAAAAATAACGCTGTAATACAGAAGGAACCATGAAAAGAGTGGAATAGTCAAGTAAAAAAAAACCTGGTGTGAGCAGGACCACACGTCGGAAGTGATAACTTCTATAGGCGACTAAATTGGAGATCGCAGCGCCAGTGGCCGGTTATGGAACTATATAATAATAATAATAATAAACGCCTTTTATTGTCATGTGAAATACATGAAAAAAAAAAATCTTACATAGACTGTTGGCGAAGTCTAGCTCAAAGCTATTCCACTTAACCAACAGAGGGCTATATATGCCCAAAAAAGCAAAATGACTTTAGCAAATTGACTGAGACAGCAAGGAAGGTAAAACAAAAAAAATGAAATGCAATACACATAATGGGCACTTACTAATTAATTGCTAGCGAATCTATACAAACCTAAAGACTTGCTGAATCTAGTTTCATTATATAAACTCAAAATTTGTTGTTTTATTCATTTTGTCAGGAAGGAATTGAAAATATCGAATTTGAATTTTAATGAAGTTAATACGATTCACGCCCATGAAACAAGGCAATTCAATTTATTGATAGCAAATAATTATAAGTCAAATTTTGGTAAACAATCAATATTCCATAATGGAATAATTTTGTATAACTCCTTACCTAATGAGTTGAAAAATATAGAAGAAGCAGAAAATTTTAAAATGAAATTAAAGAAATATCTGCTCAGTAAACTTTAATAGTACTAATCATTCACAATTTGATTACTTGTGATGGATTATGATATTTTCATTTTATATTTTATTATAATTCTTATTTTTTTTTAGTAAAAACAATAATTGTGCAATTATCATTGTTTCGATATATTATGTTTTATAATATGTATGTTTTGTTGTATATATCCCTATTATAAACAATAATGTTTCTTGGGGTAATAAAGACAATCAATCAAAATAATATAATTTAGAGTGATAAAACAAATCTAAGACATGAAGGATGTACTAAATAATATTATATCAAGACTGCGTATCGAGTAGATGCTTCTTAAATTTATATCTGAACTTATTTATATTATGAGCTTCAAATTAGTCAGTTAAAATATTATATATTTGAATAGCATTGAAGACAAAACATCTTTGAAAAAAATTATTTCTGAGTTGCGGTATGGTCAGGATGGTTCTCTGTCTGATGTTTTTAGAGTGTATTCTGAATCGGGGAATGAATTTGCTTGCCAGAGCTGGAGGATTGGAGTCACTCAATAGTTTATGAGTAAAGGTACCTAAGTGGAGAGCTGTCTTCTATTGTTCATATTAAGCCAGTTGCATTCCCTAAGTTTATGTGAAATAGGATCATATTTTTTGATACCATAGATTAGTCTACAGCAGCTATTCTGGACTTTTTGTATTCTATTTCTATCAATTTTCGTCAAGCAAGGACCGTACAGAAAGTCGCAATAGTTAAAGTGACTCAACACGAGTGACTCGCACAAAGTTCTTTTCATTTTGACACTGAGAACATGTCGATTACTGAAAATAAGTTTTATGATGCGACAGCTTTACCAATAATATTTTTTATGTGCTGAGCAAAACGCATGACAGTGTCTGATACTAAGCCAAGATTTCTTGGAGGTGGAACTTTATAATCTTCTTCAGAGTAAATTGAAAAATAAATCATCCTCGGGATTTGATGAGCTTCCAATGTTCGTTCTGAAAAAATGTCTTTCAGTTGTTATTGCACCTTTGCTCTTCCTGGTAAATTTAACTTTCACTACAGGTACATTTCCGAGCTTGTTGAAAACTGGAAGAATAATACCAATTTACAAGGAGAATAGTCCCCATTCATTAGAAAACTATCGACCAGTCACGATTCCATCCTGCTTTTCAAAAGTATTTGAATATGCTTTCTTAAACAGATTACTTCCATTCTGTCATATTCACAATCTTTTCACAACGAATCAGCACGGATTCCTGGACAATAAATCAACTACCACAGCCATTCACTCCTATTATAGTGAGATAATTAGATTTATTGAGGCGGGAGAATGCCCTGTTGGGATTTTCTGTGATCTCAGCAGGGCATTTGATTGCGTTGACCATAACATTCTCCTTAATAAACTCTTCAGGTATGGTATTCGTGGTACTCCACTGGCCTGGATAGCAGACTACCTTTCTTTGAGGAAACAATTTGTTGAAATCAACAAAACACCATCTGACTTCATTTCAACAGAATTAGGGGTTCTACAAGGATCAATTTTGGGACCTGTATTATTTCTATTCTATGTTAATGACCTCGATAAGTCAATTGATACATCTATGACCATGTATGCAGATGATACGTCCATAATTATCTCTGATAAGAATGATTCAGCCCTCAACGATAAATGCAATCAAGTTTTTCAAGATTTGAATAGATGGTTTTCTGCAAATAACCTTTACTTGAATGTTGATAAAACAGTTTCCATTCGATTCCACAATCGTCAGAAAAGTTGTGACTTTATCACTTTCCAGGCAAAGGAAAATTCTGATCTCGTTATTACAGATAGTGTAAGCACCAAATTTCTGGGACTCTCTATCGACCAATGTTTGGGGTGGCATAACCATTGTGCACTATTAACAAAGAAATTGAACACAATATCATGTCAATTGAGAAACTTGAAACAAGTTTTGAATATTGATCAATTGTTGACCTTGTATTACGCACAGATTGACTCTAGACTTAGGTATGGTTTATGTTTCTGGGGCCTATCTACACACTGGAAAGATGTTTTTATAGCTCAAAAAAGAATAGTACGAATAATGGTAGGTGTTCCTATGAGAGAATCCTGCAGAAATATATTCATCAACTATAAAATTTTAACATTACCTTGTCTTTTAATATTTGAATATTGTGTATTTGTTTTCAAAAATTATGATGACTATTTTGTTCTCAACAAATCCAAACATAATGTGAATACCCGGCAAAAAAATGATGTATATGTCCCATTTGGTAAATGTAAATTAGCATACAATTCTCCTAATCTCATGGCCCCACGAATTTTCAATTTACTGCCAATCAAAATAAAAAACTGTGAAACATTGGTTGTGTTTAAAAGAAGATTGAAAGAGTTTCTGTTACATAACTGTTTTTATAGTGTAGATGAGTATATGTCCCTTTAGTTTGTAAGACCTATTGACGATTCCTATACAATATGAAATGTAATTGTCTAAAAAGGAAAATAAAGTTTATCTATCTATCTATCTATCTTCTTGCTGAATCACAGACTTGTAATGGGGTATTATCAATTGGTAGATTGAGACTATTCTTCAAAAAGTTTGTTATTTTTTCTAAAGAAATAGAGTACCTTGGATTTTATAGAATTGAGTTTCAAGCTGTGTTCATAGGAAGATGTCTTAATTCTAATCAATTCATTGTTCATGATTTCTCCTGCGAAAGCGAAATCTTCAGTACGAAAGTCAAATACAGCTGAGTATCATCAGCAAGATCCTGTACTTTACATTGTTCTATTTCGTTCAAAATATCGGCGGTATATATAATAAACAGCAAAGGACCCAGTATAGACCCTTGCGGGGAACCTGAAAGAATGTCAAGTTCAGATGAGTAAGAACCATCAACAAAAATTCTCTGGGAACGTCTGAGGAAGTAGTTCCATATTAAAAAAAGCATTGTTTTGAAATGGTTCATTGGCATGTGCGTATTATTTCGATTTTTCGGTAGTGATTTAGGCGAAGAAAACTTCACTTTTGATTGTCTAGTTGTTCACTTTTGTGATTCGAGGGAGATTTTCAGCAGATATTCGTTCAAGAGAGTATGTTCCACTACTTCAAATATATGAGATTCGCAAAATGAAACGCCCCAATTCGAGTTTATTATCATTTTGTATTTTTCACAAGAATGAATATGACGTTTAAGGTGTTTTGGTTTGGTGTTTTGGTTCGGACCTATTGCATAAAGCTATCTGTATAGTTTCGTGATATAAGATTAAGGTGAACATGTAAACTCAAACTTGGCGGTTACTGTCTTTCACGGTTGGGAGGACGTATACCTAGTATATAAGTAGCACACTAGAATAGAAAATTTAGTTTTATTCTTCTCCTGAAGATGCTAACATAGTTAGCGAAACACGCGTGGGGGCGTATAAAAAAATCAGTTTGGTTAGTGGTGAAACAAAGTAGTGTACTAGTTTTAAAATAAAACTTCAACAACTTGTATCTTGAAAATAAGGGTTTCCGGGCATATGCTTCTTTGGACAATGGGCCTTTCCAGTATCGTAAAAATTCAACTCTTTTCGCTATAATGTTATGAAGGGAAGTCAAAAACGTTATCCCTTCCACATATTCATCGAAAATACCGTACAACAAATGAATTATTTGATATTGAAAATGCAATTTCAATACCTATGAATTCAAACGCTATTGAGCTGTGATGTCAGTGTCCTCTTGCAATTTGATTGGTTGGAGTTGTGATGGCTGGAAAGCACGTCGCTGTTGTCAGGTCTCTATAAAATCCTGGAATTGAACCTATGTGCAAGATTGTGCAAGGAATGTGTTGATTCGAAACTACTATGTAGTACGTGATTAGTTGATAGGTAATTCAGTGCTGATCACATACAATTTACTCTGAATTCCGAAGAAAATTAGCTAGGATAAAATGTGATGGAGGCATCTTACAGTAAGACGCTTTTTATATTTGTTTGGTTTTTGTTATCAAGTTGATATTTCGTTGACTGATTGTTATAATCGACAAATTAAACAGTGTTAATATATCTCAAGTACTCATTCCCGGAAAAGCAATTGCTAATCTGGCAACTGTGTCTACAAAAGAGAAAGAGATGAAGCAACTGACGCTAACACAATGTTGCCAAGTTGAAAATACCTCATTTCCCGCATAACTTCACTGTTATCATTTTTTAATATTATCGACAAGAAAGCAGTGATGCTTGTACTAGAAATAGAGAAATTTATTATTGATTGATTCAGAATTCGTTTCTTTCCCTATGGTAGGAAGGTATAGAAGTAGGTACATATAGGTGAGTACCTAAACTTGAAATATACTGGAAGGGATTTGAAACTTAATGTCATAAATATCTGCACTGTTTTTTGATACAAAATGAAATTTCATTTACCATTTTGAATAATCCACCAACATAAATCAACCATCTAACTTATTATGCAATGCGATTTTTCAGTACCACGAATTTTCAGGTGAGTAGTATTAGTTGAGTTATCTATCAGCATCTGTATTATTTGCTGAAATGAAAAAATCGAGAAATGAACTACGACTAATTATACCTTTCTGTCCAAATTGGCAACACTGTCAAGTCCATTGTGCATTTTATTGACATCCATGAGGAGGTGAGAGTATTACCAATCCAAATTGCTCGAGCACTGGCGTCACACTTTTCGCGTCCATGTCTGATAGTTTGAATTCGCTCATTCAGTTTGGCGTTTTCAATATTTTTTATGAATTGATATTTTAAGGTATTCCAGAGTCATTTATTCCGAGATCTGTTATCTCTAGACATGACTAGAAAAGCCCATTCATATTAGAATATTGTGATGAATCACCTCCTGACATTTGTGAAAGAACTTTTGAATCACCCTGTATTCACACGAAACACAAAATGTCTTTAGTTAAGTTTAGTCTAGTGTTTATTGATCCATTAAGGTGAGCTCAAAAAAGCAATTGGATGAGTCAGTAAATAAAAAATACAGTATGAAATACAAATATATAACAAACGCTTGAGTATTGATGAAAACAATAAAAAATACAAATCATTTCACTAATTTAGATGAAAAAAGAACTCATCCATCGATTTTATAGGGGCTTATTTCAAAAAGTAATTGTTTTATTTCATGTTCGAAAACTTGTTCATTTGTGATGTTCTTAAAAAACTCCGGGAGTGCATTATACCGGGTGTCCCAGTATACCTGTTCCAATGAATTATCTCAGCCATTTCGAAAAATAAAAATTCAAAAATTTCATGATCTTGGGGATCGTGTAAGGAAGCTTCAACTGAGAAAAACAGAAATTGAAAGTCACTTCCGGTTTGACGGAAGTGAATTTAACTTTTTTATTTCAAATAGTACTCTGTATATTTTTTGCAATTTTTGGTTTCTACTCAAAATTACCGTTCCAACGATGTATCACACTTCATATTTTATATTTGATTTGATGGAGAACACGACAATTTCAAATTGAACGAATTGTAGTAGGCTACGATAATTTTGTAATCTTGATTTTGACTTCAATAATAATTTTAAATTATTAGAATTGTAGTAGATCATTTTTTTCAAATTTTCATCTTTCGAAATGGCTGAGATAATCTATTGGAACAGGTATACTGGGACACCCGGTATAGTCTCAGCCCCAAAAACTCGAACGAGTTTAATCGCAGAGATAAACGTGTCTTGGGTAAGTGAAAATCATTTTTGATACGGGTATTATGTTCGAAATCTTCCTTATTTTTATGAATGTACAACAAAACTTCCAGAATGTAGAGACCTGAAAGGGGCAAAATATTCAATTTTTCAAATAATGTTCTGCACGATGCTGTTTGTGATGCGTTTGCAATTGTTCTAATGATTCTCTTTTGTGTCACAAAAACACTGTGTGTAGGTGGAGAATTACCCCAAACAATTAGCCCACAGTTAATTCTCGATTGAATCGGTCCATGGTAATATAAAAGAAGACCAGAGTTGTCCAAAATTCGTTTAAGGTTTCTTAGCAGGTAACACTGCTTATTAGGTAATTTACAAAGATTTTAGCAGTGCTGGCGGAAGTTGAGGTTGCTATCTAGAAAAAGCACTAGAAATTTCACACTTTCACCTCTTTCTATCTCAACACCGGATATTTCGATATTAATGTCTACCGCGTTAGTATTTTGGGTGGTATGAAAAGCTACTGCTTTCGTTTTATGAGCATTCAAAAATAACGAGTTTTCACTGAACCAATTTTGCTAGCTGACAAGATCGAAATTGATATTTTGTTGCGGTTCATTCTAATCATTTGATTTAAATAGGAGAGAAGAATCATCAGCATACAAACAAGTGAATGACTTTGGTAAAACAGATGGCAGCTCATTGACATAGAGAATAAAGAGGATCGGTCCTAAAACTGATCCTTGGGGTATACTCATGTCATTGATTAACTGTTCAGAGAAAAAAGTTTCGTTATAATGTTCACTCGAGTATTATATTTTGACAGTCTGGGTGCGATTTGATTTATATCTTCATTCAATTGATCATTTACGTGTATGCAGCTAATACAAAAATCTTCACCTGTCGTAATATTGTCTGCGGACAGTCTTATTGAGTAATGAATAAAGATTTACGCAGTGTTGGCGGAAGTTGAGGTTGCTATCTAGAAAAAGCCCTAGAAATTTCACACTTTCACCTCTTTCTATCTCAACACCGGATATTTCGTTATCAATGTTTACCGCGTTAGTATTTTGAGTGGTATGAAAAGCTACTGCTTCCGTTTTATGAGCATTCAAAAATAATGAGTTTTCACTGGACCAATTTTGCAACCTGACAAGATCAGAATTGATATTTTGCTGCAGTTCAATCAAATCTTTTGATTTAAATAGGAGAGAAGAGTCATCAGCATACAAACAAGTGAATGACTTTGGCAAAACAGATGGCAGCTCATTGACATAGAGAATAAAGAGGATCGGTCCTAAAACTGATCCTTGGGGTACACCCATGTCATTGATAAACTGTTCAGAAAAGAAAGTTTAGTTATAATTTTCACTCAAATATTGTATTTTGACAGTATAGTTGCGATTTGATTTATGTTTTCATTCAATTGATCAGTTACGTGTATGCAGGTAATACAAAAAATCTTCACCTGTCGTAATACTGTCTGCGGACGGTGGTTTTTCTCTCTGGTATTTTTCTGGTCAACCGGTTGAATGTTTTGCTTGGTTTTAACGGCTTGGGTTTCATCTTTTTGGGCTTCTTCGGCGGTGGGACATCCTTGGGCGGTTTGTGCAGGAAGATCTTGCTGGGTTTGTTGACCAAGTTCTTGAATGGGACTTCTTTTGGAAGTACCTGGAAGAATGGACAAAAGTACAAATGGGTCAATTCCAAAATTGGGGTGTCTGGAAATTATGCGCAAAAAATCAAGGGGGTGATTCTACATGATAAAATATGGAATGCATATTATATGTACGTGGGTCCGGAAATGCATAGTTTTCAACAACCAGTGTGAAAAACAAAAAAAAATCGGTTTTATTGAATATCTCAAATGCCCTTCCACCGATTTTCTTTATGTTTGACAATTATAATTTTTGTCACGTGGGGGTGATATAGCCATAATTCAATTGCAATTATGAAATCCAGTGTGCGCCACTGATTTTTTTTAAATTCTGTATTTTCATAACCTATTAACCAACTAAGAATACAACGATCTGGTGTCTTGAATTGTTTTGATATTTTGCTTCAGTTCCATGGAAAAATTAAATACCAATTTTTGCATAAATTTGTACCTAAAACTTCCTCCAGAAACTGGGCTGAAGATAAATGAGGGATACATGTCCATAGACATAGAATAAGAATGAAGATTAATTTTCTTCAGATATCTCATGATACATGTTCAACATACTCTACACTTTGTATATTGAGAACTATGTATTTTCGGTCCAGGAAGGAGTAGTCTGTTTTTGAAGGAATGTTTTGCACAAATTTATATACTAAATTAGTATTCATTTTTTTTCACGGAAACGAAGCAAAATATCGAAACAACTCAGGGACCAAAATGTTGTATTTTTAGTTGGTCAATAGGATATTTATTTATTTATTTATTGATACAAAATCTGAAAAAATAATATTCGCTAGGGTGCCCCTGGGACGCCACTGGATTTCTCAATTCCAATTTAATTATAGGTAAATCAGCTTTTCATGACAACGAATATTATTGCCAAATTTCAAGAGAATCGGTTGAAGGATATTTGACATAATCATAAAAAAACGATTATTTTTTTAACGTTCAACACAATGTATCTTGAAAACTATGCATTTCCGGACCCACGGGTATATAAAATAAATGGTATGTTTTCTCATGCAGAATCACCCCCATGATTTTTTGTGCACAATTTCCGGACACCGTGTATACAAAGAATACATTTTTGTAGAAAAACAATATTTTGGAAGATGTTGAGCCCAATCCAAGCGTATTCTTTCGACGAGATCAGAAGCACTGGGAATATCAATGACTTGATTGATATTTTTATCGATATATCGATATTTTTTCCCAGACCTATTTTGTATCTTTTATTCAAAACATTTCAAAATAGCTATTTGTCTATTTAGAGCGCAAAGTGATAGATTGCCGCTCGACAAAGAAAGTTAATCTTTGGAGAGCGGCAATAACACTTTGTGCTCGAAATACACACAAGATTTATTCTAAATACTAACGCAGCTTTTGGAAATAACTGCCCTGAAAGTATGAGCGATTGAAATAGTTGAAAAAGTTCTTATCCATATTATCCCATATGTCCAAAGGAAACAGAAAAGAAAAATTGAAATAAATGACAAGCCAGAAAAAAATGTCGGGCCTACCGAGAATTGAAACTGGACCACCAGCGTGGCAACCTGAGCTTCAGACCTCTGAGCCATAGTACGAAAAACTAAGCAATCAAATTGAACATTACTCATTGATGCAATAAAATAAAGATACACTGTCTTTCTGATGACAACAAAGAGTTTAAATATAAAGTATAATTCATCGTTTTCAACAGATATGCTTCATCGGGAGCTTCTTATAGAAATTTGTTGGTATATATCTTCAGCGGTGAATGTTTTGGATTTTTCTCGCTTTATAACCAATAGATGGTTTCTTGAGAAATGCGATAAGTTTCAGATACTTATTGATTCCGATATTATTTTTAACATTCAAGCATGTATACGTACCATCGAATATATAGACCAATGAGTTGATGACTTCAAAGTCTTTGATTTTTTACCAAAATAAGCCAGTAAAACGTTTTATGAAATACATATTCACCATCTCGGAATGGCACCAATTCATGAATGTATCATATTGTAATTCATATTTCTTTCTTGATTTCTCCGGTAAGAGATTCAAACTCTTGCGCTTTCTGCTATATCAGGAGGTGTGTTTGATGATTCACTGTCACTATTTTTCATCATGAAAGAATTGGGGGTTTTCAAGAATAGAATAGTTTTTTCAATATTTCCGCTCATGAGCGCAAATGCTGTCAAAGAATGACATTTCTGGGAAAACGTCAACTTTGTGTTGGAATTTGAAAGCGTCAAAGGCTACTTTGTTAAGCGGTTGTAGAAAAATAAATTTAATAGGAAACTATGCCATATATGCAGATGACACAGTACTTTTATTTGAAAACAAAAACCCTGTAATTTTAGAAAACAACATAAATGAGGATTTAAAGAAAATGGAAGAATGGCTCAAGACCCAATATATAATTTTCCATCAAAGAAATGAACAAAATATTGATTTGAATATTAGAATGAATAATGGAAGATTGGAACAAACTGCCTATACCAAATACCTTGGTATTTGGATTGATGAAAAGTTAACATGGGACAAGCATATTGGCATGCTTAAAGAAAATGGTTCATGTTCCAAGAATAATTTCAACAAAATATCTGTACTATACAAAAAAGCATTAAAAGTACTGTATCGTCTTCCATATGACACCCCATCATATCAACTTTATGAAGAAACGAATACATTTTCTTTGGAAGTGCACTATCTGATAAATACTCTCAAAATTTCTTTTGATATTATCAACAAACACCTCAAATCTAACTTCATATTGGTGAGGAATTCTCAAATCCATGAACATCATACTAGACAATATGACTTGTTTCATCTTGATGCTGCTAATTCTACACTTGGTCAAAAAAAGTTCACTCACGGAGCTATCTCAAAATTCAATAAATTACCTGATGAAAATGAAAGTCAAGAAACATATCCTCTTGCAGAGAGAAAATCAAACCTGAGTGAATGATTTCTCATTCACTAATTTATTTCATCATGTCATAATGTACTTTTCATGACCTTTTTGTTTTATTATTATTATTATTAATATTATTATTTTATTCTGTTGTTTATTTCAATAACTATAATTTAATTTGATAACGCATGAATAATCTCATACCAGATATGAATCTGTCTGATTATTCATGTTATTCCATTGTGAAAGTTAATGATTATATTTATATTTATATGAGATGCAATGTAATGTTTATAGCAAAGAATGAAATGAAATAAATAAACTTCTGATGTATGTGAATACTTTTTTTATCGCTTGGAGCGCACGAAAGGAAATCTCTATAATGTTCAAAGAACATCGTGCGTTCCTAGGGAGGATAGGGACAGGAGGTAGGTATTGGGATTTTTTTTGAACTTCTGGAGATTATATGTTGTTGGGAATACTTCCTCAGGCAATGCATTCCAGAGCCTAGCCGTTTTATGGATGAAGGAGTTTTGATAAAGTGCTGTTCGACATCTTTCGAAGTTGACTACGAAAAGGTGTTCTGACTGGGCTAGTCTAGTTTGTCTAACTGGTATTGCTAGTGAAGGGATGATAGCAGAGATTTCCGAAGAACATTTCTCGTGGAAGTATCTATAGAAAAGTGAAAGATCGCACCTTTCTACGGTGTTCCAATGATGTCAAGGAATGAGTGAGTGTGGCGTCACCCACCAGGCGAATGGCTTCTCTGGATGGCATCTAAGAGTATCAGCGTATGTTTTGGTGCTGAACCCCATATGTGGGAACAGTATTCTAGAACAGGCCGTATCTGCGCTTTGTAGATCACGATAAGCTGTTGAGGTGTAAAGTAGCTTTTCGCACGGAACAAGAATCCGAGTTTTTGTGAAGCAGCTTTTGCGATGGATCTGACATGATTATCCCATGAAAGAGTGTTGCTGATGGATATACCGAGCATAGATATGGTGGGCTTGGTGGAGATGGTGGTGCCAGACATTACAATGTCGGGCATACTGAGTTCCGCCTTACTAGAGGAAATACAGGCTTGAGTTTTGGTGGCGTTGAATTCAACTAGGTTGTTGGTTCCCCAGGCTGTGATTTCAGCAAGGTCTTCATTGACAGCATTGACCTGCCAGCGCCGTGAGTTCTCTCCTATGATGAAACTACATTAATCTTTTTTGCTCACCTTATTCATTCTTTCCTTCTTCAAGCCCATCGAGGCACTATCGATACTGGGCACTTTGGACGCCCAAAACCAGTTTCGCTTCATGTGCGACCAAAGGGCCGAATCCAAACAGGCTGCGCCTTTTTTGTCGCCCGGTATGTCTCCATTATCGTTCCTGGATTGAAAAATCCAATACAATGACTATTGCCTGTATAGTTTAGTAATTTGGGATTGGGATCGGCATGTTAATTCGACCGTCAAAGACATTGACTGTATTACATAATAGTACATTATATGCGAGTAGAATATTATACTTTGTCCACGACTACTATTGTCTTTGATAAATAAATTTATTTTTAGCGAGTAGCATAATTAACCTGAGTTAATAATATCTCATTATATGCGAGTAGAATACTGTACTATGTCCGCGACTACTATTGTCTTTGATATATCAATCTATTTTCAACAACTGTTTTATCATAACTCATTTGACATTAAGGAAACTAAAAATTGTAGATACCTGTTATAACCATTATTTGTCCACACCAGTGAATAATAGCGGTGAATATCCATTATTCACTGGTTTTTCTCTCGTTATCTACCATTTTCGTTCATTTTATGAACTAGTGTCGTAATGACTTTGAGTTTCTCTCTCTCTTTGTGACCATTGCATTCCATTATTCCAAATTTTTGGGATTTTCTCTCCTCGTTTCATTGCATTCCACTTTGAGTATGTGGCTTTTTTCTAGTTCATTATTCACTGGTCTGAAGTTCTTTTATACGTTATATCTCATACCCTAGGACCTCCAGACCAGTGAATGATGGCTATTCATTGCTATTATTCACTGGTGTGAAAAATGGCTACCGTTTCGCTCGAGGAAGTTAATGTATTATGAATATTTCATACAACAGTCGTGGATACGTCCATGTGGATAAAGTTCCTTATATGTTATATCGCGTAACCTAGGAACTCTTGACCAGTGAATTATGATTATTCACTGGTGTGAAAAATGACTACCGTTTTGCTTGGGGAAGTACATGTATTATGTATATTTCATACATCAGTCGTGAATAAAAATATTTCAACCACAGATTCTAGTCTATATTTCAGATTTTTCGGGATTTTCTCTCCTCGTTTCTATAAAATAAAAATATGAGTATTATTTTAATATACTGAGACGTGTCCAAACTGATAGGTACCTGACGAATTTGCGAGGGAAGTATTTTCCATTTTTATGTTGAAAACGGGAGCAAATTCGTTCCCGGAACGTCCAAAAATAAGTGGAAATTTGATATCTAATATACAGAGTGACCCATTTGAAATGGGGCCAACCTCATAAGTTTTTTATTTATGGAGCAATTTTCACGATTTCTTTTGAAATGTAGGGGAAGAAAAGTTGTATTTTGGAGCTAAGCAGTGTCCATGTTTTTTTTTAAACCAAGGCCTACTAGATCACATTCAGAGGCTGAAAAATTCAGAATCCATATTCAGAAAAAATCCGCGTACACCACTGGAATAGGCGAACTCTGAAATAAATTTGTACCAAGTTTCATAAAAAAATATTCAATATCAACGAATTTACAGCGTGTCTCATTTCAAACGCCCCCCCCCTCTATATCTCAGCTAATAGACGTGCGATCTTTACCAAATTAGGACCGGTATGAAGAGCCATCATTATGATAAGTTTTTCAGAGACGAACATCCTGTTCGACAGTGCCGTGCTTTTTTATTGAAATGGAAAGGGGTCGACTTTTATTATATTATTTGCAAGAAAAATAACTATTATTGTTTCTCATGCATTTCAACTTAACAGATTTTTCTTTCAAGTTTTTGTTCCCACGAAAAGGAATATCCTGTAATGTTCAGAGAACATCGTGAGAGCCAAGGGAAATAAGGTAGGAATTGGTGTTCTTGAATTTCTGGAGGTAATATGCCTTGGGGAACACCTCCCTTGGCGATGTGTTCCAGAGCCTCTCTGTTCGTTGGATAAACGAGTCTTTGGAAAGAGATGTTCTGCCGGTCTTCAAAGTTACCACGAAGGAGTGCGAAGCCTCAACTCGACGGGTTAATCTCGCGGGAACTGCCAAGGGAGGAACAATTGTTGATATTTCAGAAGAGCATCGTCCATAAAAATATCTATAAAATAGAGCCAGAACGCCAACGTTTCTACAGTGTTCCAGAGAAGTGAGTGAGTTTGTGAGCGAGGCATCACCCACCAGACGAATTGGCCTTTTTTGGACAGAATCCAACAGTTTCAGGGTATGTTTGGGTGCTGCACTCCAAATATGGAAACAGTAATCCAGGACAGGTCGGATCTGTGCCTTATAGATCATATGCAGCTGACTGGGAGTGAAATAGCTCCTGGCCCGAAACAGAAAACCAAGTTTTTGGGATGCACTTTAAGCAATTGATCTCACGTGATTTCCCCAAGGAAGGTTATTGCTGATAGTAATACCAAGCATCGAAATGGATGTCTTCAAAGGTATGGTTACTCCTGACAAGCTTATGTTGGGCACAGTGAGATCGACTTTTTTAGCGAAAATACATGCTTGTGCTTTGTTTGCATTGAAATCTACCAAGTTATTGGATCCCCATTCGAGAACTGCTCCATTTTTTCATTTACAGCCTCGGAAACATAATGAATTCAAATTGAATGCAAATCTTGGAAGTTCAATAAAAATCGTGATTTGAAAAAAAACTCACCATTTACGAGTAAATAATTATTACGTTCATAAAAATGCTGTTCAGATGTGCCTGTTTTTTCTTTAAACTCTTCATAGGAATATGAAAATGACTTAGGGGGTTTGAAACCATAAAGAGAAATTCCATGAGGCCAGTTTTTTTGTAAACAAATTCTTCATTTATTATTTCATAAAAATTGACCCAATTTCAATAAAAACGCACAGCACTGTCCAAAAAGATGTATATATCTGAAAAACTGTTCCTATTGATGGTCATTCATACCGGTCCCAATTTGGTGAAGATGGCAGGACTAATAGCTAAGATATAGAGGGGGACCGTTTCAAATGAAACTTGGTACATAATCTGTGGCACAGATCTATTTCTGAAGACACCGATTCCAGTGGTGTACGCGAATATTTTTTAAAAAATAATCGATAATAAGGATTCTGGATTTTTCAGCCTCTGAATGTGATCTAGTAAGCTTTGGTCTTTTTAAAAGAAATGGATGCCGCACGGCTAAAAAAAAAACACTTTTTCCTCTCTACTTTTCGTAAAACAATTCGTGAAAATCGCTTCATAAATAAAAAAACTGTGAGGGTGCCTGCTTTCAAATGGGTCACTCTATAAAATTCTCCTGCCCTTGTCACGGTGGTCACGCCAAACTCCTTCGAAACGGCGCGACCGATTCGTATGCAAACTTTTTTGCGTATTCGGTAGGTGTGAAAATCAATCAGAAGCTAACTTTCAAATTGAAAATTCAAGATGGCGGATCCAATATGGCGGACGAGTTTTGTAATCCGATTTTATTCAAAATTGGTATCTGGGGGTTTTCAGGGTCGGAAATTATGATTCCTTCATCAAAATTAAGAAATTCAAAATGGCGGATCCAATATGACAGACGAATGTTTTAATTATGGTCCGATACCATTCAAAATTGGTATCTGGGGATTTTCGGAGTCGAATATTACGATTCTTTCGTCAAAATTTGGAAATTCAAGACGGCGGATCGATGCAATGTGGCGGACGAGTTTCGTAATTATGATCGGATTCTATTCCGAACTCGTATCTGGGGGTTTTCGGGATCAGAGATCATGTAATTTTGTTAAAATTTGGAAATTGAAGATGGCGGATCCAATATGGCGAACGAGCTTTGTAATAAATAGTAGTTTGAAGAACTTTGGTGAAACACACTTTCATAAATAGCCAAACTGGAGGCCAAACCAAATAGAAATAGAAAATAGATAGTATTGTTCAGAAACTAAAGATTGTCAAACTGAAAAGGAGTAGAAAACTAGATGATAAAATTGTGTTGATATATATTATATAAAATATTTCCTAGGAATAAATGTAAGTTTAAAGCAAAACAACCTTTGCCGGATCGGCTATTGTAATGAATAGTAGTTTGAAAAACTAATGAAACACACTTTAATAGATAGCTAAACTAGAAAGGAATAAAAATAAATAGAATAGTTCGAAATATCAGGCAAGACGCTTTTATGGATTGCCAAACTGAAAAGAAAATAAAATAATAGAAGTGTGCCGAGAAATATGCAACAAAAAAAATATTTTTTTGGAAATAATGTTGACAAATGACAAAACAACGTTTGCCGAGTCAGCTAGTTTTTTAATAAGTATATATTTCTCTTCTCCGAACCTTCTTCAAAACAAAGTGTCATTGACAAGCGAATGAATTTTTCTTTTAGCCTCTCTTATAGAAAAGTTTTTAAACGCAGTGACATTTTCGAGCAAACCTCCTGGTTTGTCCTCACTACACGTATACAGTGCGTCCAAAATTCGATCCTTACCATTGGGATCTTGGTAAAAATGAGAGATAGAGAGTCGGTTAAATTACAAAAGTTTCAGCATATTCAATCTTGATTCAGAATCCGTTAAGAAATCTAGATTAGCTTGAGTCATTTTTGATTTATTCGAGAAAAACTGAAATTTTTTATTTTTGTTCTCGAATATCCCGAAAATTATTGATTGTATGATAAAACGACTTGGACATTCTAGTTGTTTTTAGTAATCTTTCAAATGATTCTGTCAGTTTTTGTTGAAAATATCGAATTTCTGAGATATGACCTCCAACTTTTTTTTTTCTTTTTTTTTTTCAAAAATCGACAGAACCATTCAGAAGATCACTAAAAAGTACCATCATAATGTCGAAGTCGTCTTTTCATACAATCACTAGTTTTCGAGATATCCGAGAAAAAAGAAAACACAAAATTTCAGTTTTTCTTGAATAACTCAGAAATGACTGAAGCTAGTCCAGATTTATCGACGGATTCTGAATCACGATTGAATTTGCTGATACTTTCATAATTTAACCCACTCTCTATCTCTCAAATTTGCCGAGATACCAATAGTGAGGATCGAATATGGGACACAAGGTATTAAATAGGTACTTAAATTTTTATTTTATAGGAATGAGGAGAAAATCCCAAAAAAATCTGGAATAATGAATAAACCATCTCCTTGATTAACCCACTGAC